TTGAAATTTTAAAAACTTTAACCACAGAGTGAATGTAATATTTCCCGGCAGAAAAACTAAGTCCATTTATAAGTAAAATATGGAAAAAATGGAATTTTATTTTTACAAAATTTACTTCTGGATGCTATCTTGTGATCATAAACAAGCTTCTGTCCAAGTTTGGTAGAAATCCAGGATAGTTTAAGAAAGTTATTAAAATTTCAAAAACTTTAACCACAGAGTGAATATTTGTGGACGCCGCCAACGACGACGACGACGACGCCGACGGAATGTAGGATCGCTATGTCTCGCTTTTTCGACTAAAGTCGAAGGCTCGACAAAAAATAGGAAGATGTGGAATGATCACCAATGAGACGACTCAACCATAGACCAAGTGACATAGAAGTAAGCAACTATTGGTCACTGTATGGCCTTCAACAATGAGCAGAACCAATACCGCATAGCAAACTAGAAAAGGCCCTGACGTGACAAATGTAAAACAATTCTAACAAGAAAGCTAACAGATTAGAAGGCTAAGTAGGCTTTATTATGATATGGATGGAGAATCTTTTTTTTTTTTTTTTATTTTCGATCTGGATTTGAAAAAAAAAGGTAATTTGCCAGATATTTCTCATAATATTCTTGTAACTATTGCAAATAATAAGAAAGTTTTTTTATTATAAAACAAATGTGTAACTTTGGATTGGGTGTACTAGTATATCTTTGAATTATTAATATTTATCGCTATTTTACAAAATATTCGTTTGATCTTGCTGACTGATAATTATAGATTATCGTTGGTCATCTCAAAGAGATTGATTTTCTTGCTTGAGCCGGTACAGCGAAAGTGAGAAAAGAAATCATGTTGAGATGACCAATAATAATCTGTTTATTGCTATTTTACCTATGACGACGTTGTTAATGTCATTGACAACGGCACGTGCGCCCTTAGTTTCTAGCGATAATTTTTCATATTACTCTACTGTGCCGAGAAAGGAAATTATCGCTATTTTACGAAATTTTCCTTTAATCTTACTGACTGATAATTTCCTTTCTCAGCACAGTAGAGTGATATGAAAAATAATCGCTAGAAACTTAAGGAGGCACGACGTCTTCATAGGTAAAATAGCGATAAACAGATTATCATTGGTCATCTCAACTCGATTGTTTTTCTCACTTTCGCCGTACTGGCTCAAGTGAGAAAATCAATCTTGTTGAGATGATCAACGATAATCTATAAGTAGCTGCATCATTTAAACCCCTGACTATTTCTAACCTGGGAACAGTATATCTAACCTGATACGCTTTTCAGTATAAAATTGATAAAATCTCGGACTCCCCGAGACTTCCCGAGATTTACGGATTTTGGTAGCGTCTGACTGAAAAACCATCAGAACTGCTCAACAAATAAACCACATAACTCTAATTGTAAATAAATACAAGTTTTATCATTTAGTAGATATATTTTGTCATATAAAATTACCAAAATAAGTTTGATTTATTTGATGTGAAGTGTTTTATAATAGTTTGGGAATTTGTAAATCATCGCGGCAATGGCCGCCATTTTTTAATACCTGGTTTGCATTCTGCACAATTCTGTGATAAAATGCTTGCGATTTTAACAAATTTGAAGTGACAGAATACAAGTTTGATACACTAGCATCACTATAAAACTAGTTTGAATGACATTTTATTGATAGTATCAGAAATTATTAGGATAATAGCGAGTCCGTTTTTAACACATATCCGTTTCTATTTCGTATCTTTATTAACTATGGCACGACGATAAAATCTACTACAATCAGGTAGTGTCAAGTCCCGTCAATATATATGTTCCTGTTCTAACCAAGCACATGAAAATACAATGTACATGTATTATATCACAAAGTGAATAGTGAATTATAAAAGTCATGATCATGACAGATAGTACAATACATGGCTAAAATTTCAAACATCAAAGATTCAAATTAATGAGTTTTATCATGTTATATGAAGAGATTTATTAACACTTATTGAAATAGCATTACATATATACGATATACGATATATGCTATTTTCTTTAAAGGTATTAATACAAGCCAAGTAGAAACAGCTGCCTGGGGTGACAGCATGCACTCAGTTACTTATCTTTATATTCAATTGCTAATTACCGGTATTATTTTGTACCAAGCTCACTGAACATAGAGGTTAATAAAAAAAGGAATTACATGAAATGGTTGCAGTATAAAGTAAAAAAAAACATTATACTGATGGTAAATGACACCTCTAAGAATCTATCATTCAGCTATATAATACTAGTGCATTAGAGGGGGAGAGTAAAAATGTTTAAATTAGTTTAAATACAAACGATCTGCCATCATCACTAAAGTCTCCAATTAATAAAGGCATGAAATTTAATATAAGGCACCAACCACTTATCTTTTGTCGGGTCATGGTTTTTGCAGAATGCGAGACATAGTGATTACAATCTGGCGACAGCGTTAACTATTTGTATAAAGCTTTATACTTCAGTGGGTTTAAGATCTAAATGCTTAATACCTTGTATGCAGACACCTCCTTTTACAAAGTTTCCTTCTGTCATATGTCCATTGTCCTTGACCTCATTTTCATGGTTCAGCAACGGCTTGAAAAATATTTAAGAGTTTTTTGTCATGTGAATTTCTCACTTATGAGTAATAGGATAACTATTTTGCATATGGGATCCTTCCAAGGTCTATATGTTGGTTAGACAGGGTCACCTGACCTTGACCTTATTCCATGGATCAGTGATCAAGTTTAAGTTTGCATGGTCAAGTCCTGTAAGCAATATGTCAACTGAATTTGATGTATGGAATGATTGAAAGGTTTTGATTTACACGTCTGTCTGGCAGGGGGCCTTGGTGGCCAAGTGGTTTAAGTAGTCGAAGTACTATATCACAAGCCAGTCAACACTGAGGTTGGGAGTTCTAATCCCTCATGTGGCAGGTAGGCTTGCCTCCAATCTTAATTGACTAGGATTGTCAGTTTATCTTACCGAAGGTCTGTGGTTCTCTCTAGGCACTCCAGCTTCTTCTACCAATAGGTGTATAGGTCTGTCTGGCAGGGTTCATATGACATTTTCAAGGTTTATTGGACAATTTTAGTTTTATACGCCCGTTTAAGGGACGTATTATGGTATACCGTTGTCCGTCTGTCCATCCCTACGTCTGCAACATGTTGGACAATAACTCAAAAAGGCTTTAACCAATTTGAATGAAACTTTGGTGAATTGTTCATATCTATTTTATAAATTATAGATTTTACGTTTCCGAGTTGTGGGATTTTATTCATAAAAATGGGGTAATTTTCCAATTTTCGGACAACTACTTAAAAGTGCTGTGAGTAGTTTTCATGAAACTTTTGTGACTGGTTTATATCTATTAAAATAACCTCCCTTTAGTGTTTTATAAATTTCTGATATGACATTGAGGAGTTATGGACATTTATTCTTTGAAAAAGCGACAGGCGTATCATGCGCTCATGGCTCAGCACTTTATTGTGGTTTGGTCTGTTTCTCAAGTACTATAAGCAATAGGACCACTATATTTGGTGTTTGGAATGATTGTAAGATGTACAGGTCTGTCTGGCATGGTTCATCTTACCTTCTCACTTTCATGGATCATTGATAATGATTAGTGGTGTGATACTTGTAGTAAAACCTTCATAATAAAGACTTTAAAGCATGTGCACTCATGTTTTTAATAAGACCATTACCATGCTGGACATTTGTCTCTGCATGCAATTGATTGAGGCAACATATACACTGAAGCATAACTGATCATTCCCTAAAATCATTGAAGCCAAGAAAACTGTAATTTGATAAAAATTTTCCTTGTACAAATGTACAATGATTGTTATGAAACTTCAAACTACAGAGGAACAGGAAATGGCTGCACAGTAGATGTAAAATTTGGTAACGCCCAACAACTCAGTATTAGCAAGCTGCAGACCAAATATCAAATAATTCCCTTCCATAGGTGCCAATATAATCTCCGTGAAATAATATAATCACAAAATTTAACATGATGACCAAAGTCAATAGACCATTACTGAAGGGGTGGAGCTATATAATCTCCATGGAAATGTGATGTGCAAATGCTGATACAACTGCATACCAAGTATCACTGACTTACCATTGGTGGTTTCCCTTAAATTGACTTAAAAAAAAAATTACGATATATTTATTTTTTTTAATCATTAATGAAAGTGATATAGTGAAATACTAATTCGCTTTTAGCAGCCAATTCAATTTTGTCAAAATAAGATGAGAAACCTCACTGATGAATTATTCATTGCAAGTGAATAATTCGACCTCATTGAATCCGTATTCATGTGACCTTTAATTTAACCCCTCAGCTGGAGATGGGTTACACATGTATTCAGCTATTAAAAGGAAAAGAATGTCAACATTGAAAGTGAAACCAGGATGAATCATTTGGTTGACTGATTCCATCCACAAAAATTCATCCTTACACTGGTAAAAATGATGTTAAACATACTTTTTAACCTACAATATGGAATCAAACAGACCTAGAAAAATCCAATTGCAAGTGTTCGCTATCTGTTTAAATTTATATTTATGTTTATATCGGGTTATATGACCGTCGGCTGTCTTCAGAGGTCATCTCGATGGTTAATTAGATGACGTCTAGACAAAAATACACACGAAATGATGATACATATTATGGAGTCTGTCCGTGTATTGTTAATTGTTTATTTTAGACTTTTTGGAAATTTGGATACACGTTTTGTACGTTATAATCAAATAAGTGAATTTGAGTCAAATCGGTGAAGATGAATTTGATAGCTAATGTCCCTTTAAAACTAAGCAAAAGATTCAATGAACCATGACTGAAGATCAGGGCCAAAAATCTCCATGGAAATGAAATATGATAATGCAGATACAACTGCATTTCAAATATCATTGACTTATTTTAAGGGGTTCCCCTTAAACTTACCTGATCACAAACATTTAAAAGTCAATAAACCATGCCTATAATTGCTTACATCCACTTCATTTGAACTTTGGTGGATAGTTGTCTCATTGGCAATCATACCGCATCTCCTTATTTTTATACGACCGCAAAAAAATTTTTGTGGTCGTATATTGGTATGACGTTGGCGTCGTCGTCGTCGTCCGGCGTCGTCGTCCGAAGACGCATTAGTTTTCGCACTCTAACTTTAGTTTAAGTAAATGGATCTCTGTGAAATTTTACCATAAGGTTCAATACCACAAAAGGAAGGTGGGGATTGATTTTGGGGGTTATGGTACCAACAGTTAAGGAATTAGGGGCCAAAAAGGGGCCAAAAATAAGCATTTTCTAGTTTCCAGACAATAACTGTGGAACGGTGTATGGATCTCTCTGAAATTATACTACAAGTTTCCATACCACAAAGGGATGGTTAGGATTTGCTTTGGGGGGTTATGGCTCAAACCGTTTAAGAATTAGGGGCAAAAAAGGGGGAAAAACAAGGTTGTCCTGGTAAATGGACAAATACTTTAGTACAAAACATAATTTAAAGCAGTGTAAGGGAGATAAATCAAATACATCATTGAAATTATCTCCCTTACACTGCTTTTAAATTATGTATAAAGTAATGGTTAATGAACAATTAAGATAATTTAAAACAGTGTAAGGGAGGTAATCCAAATACAACGTTTTGGTTACTTCCCTTACACTGCTTTTAAATTATGTTTAAAGAAATGCATATTTATAAAGGAAGACCAGTAAAAATATCTGCAAATGTTGCATCTTTTTTTTTTACAAAAAAATCCATATGAAAGATTTGACACTATATTTTAAATTCTATTATAAAATAGATTAAGTTAGCACTATGGTAAATTTAAATGGGTAATTATGGTTGCAAACTCCATTGGAAATTTGAATTGAGATTATGACCATATCTTGAGGGAAAGAATTTTTTTGGGGAAAAAAGGGGGGGGGGGGGGGGGGGTAAAAAGAAATTGTGGGGGGGTCAATTTTTTCTCATTTCAGATTTCAGAAATTAAAAAGAATTATTCTTCAAATATTTTTTTTTTTTCAAATTTCAAATATTGAAAAATTTCAAGAAGTAATCTTTAATTGCACAGTATGGCGCATTAGATTTGTAAAATCTTTGACCACATTTATTTATTTGTTATGCCGAATCTAACCGTGTATTTAGATTTTTAATTTTGGGTCCAGTTTTCAAATTGGTCTACATTAAGGTCCAAAGGGTCCAAAATTAAACTTTGTTTGATTTCAACAAAAATTGAATATATGGGGTTCTTTGATATGCTGAATCTAAACATGTATTTAGATTTTTGATTTTTTAGCCCAGTTTTCAAGTTGGTCCAAATTGGGGTCCAAAATTAAACTGTTTGATTTCAACAAAAATTGAATATATGGGGTTCTTTGATATGCTGAATCTAACCATGTAATTAGATTTTTTATTTGTGGACCCCACTATCAAATTGGTTCATATTGAGGTCAAAAGGGTCCAAAATTAAACTTTGTTTGATTTCATCAAAAATTGAATTATTGGGGTTCTTTGATATGCCAAATCTAACCGTGTATTTAGATTTTTAATTTTGGGTCCCGTTTTTTAAATTGGTCTACATTAAGGTCCAAAGGGTCCAAAATTAAACTTAGTTTGATTTTAACAAAAATTGAATTCGTGGGGTACTTTGATATGCTGAATCTAAACATGTGTTTAGATTTTTGATTATGGGCCCAGTTTTCAAGTTGGTCCAAGTTGGGGTCCAAAATTAAACTTTGTTTGATTTCAACAAAAATTGAATATATCGGGTTTTTTGATATGCTGAATCTAAACATGTATTTAGATTTTAGATTTTTGGCCCAGTTTTCAAGTTGGTCCAAATTGGGGTCCAAAATTAAATTTTGTTTGATTTCAACAAAAATTGAATATATGGGGTTCTTTGATATGCGGAATCTTACCATCTATTTAGATTTTTTATTTGTGGGCCCGCTATCAAATTGGTTCATATTGAGGTCAAAAGGGTCCAAAATTAAACTTTGTTTGATTTAATCAAAAATTGAATTATTGGGGTTCTTTGATATGCCAAATCTAACCGTGTTTTTAGATTTTTAATTTTGGGTCCCGTTTTTTAAATTGGTCTACATTAAGGTCCAAAGGGTCCAGAATTAAACTTAGTTTGATTTTAACAAAAATTGAATTCTTGGGGTACTTTGATATGCTGAATCTAAACATGTGTTTCGATTTTTGATTATGGGCCCAGTTTTCAAGTTGGTCCAAATTGGGGTCCAAAATTAAACTTTGTTTGATTTCAACAAAAATTGAATATATGGGGTTCTTTGATATGCTGAATCTAAACATGTATTTAGATTTTAGATTTTTGGCCCAGTTTTCAAGTTGGTCCAAATTGGGGTCCAAAATTAAACTTTGTTTGATTTCAACAAAAATTGAATATATGGGGTTCTTTGATATGCTGAATCTTACCATGTATTTAGATTTTTTATTTGTGGGTCCGCTATCAAATTGGTTCATATTGAGGTCAAAAGGGTCCAAAATTAAACTTTGTTTGATTTCATCAAAAATTGAATTATTGGGGTTCTTTGATATGCCGAATCTAACCGTGTTTTTATACGACCGCAAAAAAATTTTTGTGGTCGTATATTGGTATGACGTTGGCGTCGTCGTCGTCGTCGTCGTCCTGCGTCTTCGTCCGAATACACATTGGTTTTCGCACTCTAACTTTAGTTTAAGTGAATGGATCTTTTTGAAATTTTACCATAAGGTTAAATACCACAAAAGGAAGGTTGGGATTGATTTTGGGGGTTATGGTACCAACAGTTAAGGAATTAGGGGCCAAAAAGGGGCCAAAAATAAGCATTTTCTAGTTTCCAGACAATAACTTTGGAACAGTGTATGGATCTCTCTGAAATTATACTACAAGTTTCCATACCACAAAGAGATGGTTAGGATTTGCTTTGGGGGGTTATGGCTCAAACCGTTTAGGAATTAGGGGCAAAAAAGGAGGAAAAACAAGGTTGTCCTGGTTAATGGACAAATACTTTAGTACAAAACATAATTTAAAGCAGTGTAAGGGAGATAAATCAAATACATCATTGAAATTATCTCCCTTACACTGCTTTTAAATTATGTATAAAGTAATGGTTAATGAACAATTAAGATAATTTAAAACAGTGTAAGGGAGGTAATCCAAATACAACGTTTTGGTTACTTCCCTTACACTGCTTTTAAATTATGTTTAAAGAAATGCATATTTATAAAGGAAGACCAGTAAAAATATCTGCAAATGTTGCATCATTTTATTTTACAAAAAAATCTATATGAAAGATTTGACACTATATTTTTAATTCTTTTATAAAATAGATTAAGTTAGCACTATGGTAAAATTAAATGGGTAATTATGGTTGCCAACTCCATTGGAAATTTGAATTGAGATTATGACCATATCTTGAGGGAAAGAATTTTTTGGGGAAAAAATGGGGGGGGGGGGGGATAAAAAGAAATTGTGGGGGGTCAATTTTTTCTCATTTCAGATTTCAGAAATTAAAAAGAATTATTCTTCAAATATTATTTTTTTTTCAAATTTCAAATATTGAAAAATTTCAAGAAGTAATCTTTAATTGCACAGTATGGCACATTAGATTTGTAAAATCTTTGATCACATTTATTTATTTGTTATGCCGAATCTAACAGTGTATTTAGATTTTTAATTTTGGGTCCAGTTTTCAAAATAGTCTACATTAAGGTCCAAAGGGTCCAAAATTAAACTTTGTTTGATTTTAGCAAAAATTGAATATATGAGGTTCTTTGATATGCTGAATCTAAACATGTATTTAGATTTTTGATTTTTGGCCCAGTTTTCAAGTTGGTCCAAATTGGGGTCCAAAATTAAACTTTGTTTGATTTCAACAAAAATTGAATATATGGGGTTCTTTGATATGCTGAATCTAACCATGTATTTAGATTTTTTATTTGTGGACCCCGTTATCAAATTGGTTCATATTGAGGTCAAAAGGGTCCAAAATTAAACTTTGTTTGATTTCATCAAAAATTGAATTATTGGGGTTCTTTGATATTCCAAATCTAACCGTGTATTTAGATTTTTAATTTTAAGTCCTGTTTTTTAAATTGGTCTACATTAAGGTCCAAAGGGTCCAAAATTAAACTTAGTTTGATTTTAGCAAAAATTGATTTCTTGGGGTTCTTTGATATGCTGAATCTAAACATATGTTTAGATTTTTGATTATGGGCCCAGTTTTCAAGTTTGTCCAAGTTGGGGTCCAAAATTAAACTTTGTTTGATTTTAACAAAAATTGAATATATGGGGTTCTTTGATATGCTGAATCTAACCATGTATTTTGATTTTGGACATTGGACCATAATAGGTAAATTAAAAAAATTCAAGTTCTTAGACCACATTCTTTCTGTGTCAGAAACCTATGCTGTGTCAAATATTTAATAACAATCCAAATTCAGAGCTGTATCAAGCTTGAATGTTGTGTCCATACTTGCCCCAACTGTTCAGGGTTCGACCTCTGCGGTCGTATCAAGCTGCGCCCCAGCGAAGCATTTTATTATATTTTAATTTTAGGTCCCGTTTTTTAAATTGGTCTACATTAAGGTCCAAAGGGTCCAAAATTAAACTTAGTTTGATTTTAACAAAAATTGAATTCTTGGGGTACTTTGATATGCTGAATCTAAACATGTGTTTAGATTTTTGATTATGGGCCCAGTTTTCAAGTTGGTCCAAGTTGGGGTCCAAAATTAAACTTTGTTTGATTTCAACAAAAATTGAATATATCGGGTTTTTTGATATGCTGAATCTAAACATGTATTTAGATTTTAGATTTTTGGCCCAGTTTTCAAGTTGGTCCAAATTGGGGTCCAAAATTAAATTTTGTTTGATTTCAACAAAAATTGAATATATGGGGTTCTTTGATATGCGGAATCTTACCATGTAGATTTTTTATTTGTGGGCCCGCTATCAAATTGGTTCATATTGAGGTCAAAAGGGTCCAAAATTAAACTTTGTTTGATTTCATCAAAAATTGAATTATTGGGGTTCTTTGATATGCCAAATCTAACCGTGTTTTTAGATTTTTAATTTTGGGTCCCGTTTTTTAAATTGGTCTATATTAAGGTCCAAAGGGTCCAAAATTGAACTTAGTTTGATTTTAACAAAAATTGAATTCTTGGGGTACTTTGATATGCTGAATCTAAACATGTGTTCCGATTTTTGATTATGGGCCCAGTTTTCAAGTTTGTCCAAGTTAGGGTCCAAAATTAAACTTTGTTTGATTTCAACAAAAATTGAATATATGGGGTTCTTTGATATGCTGAATCTAACCATGTATTATGATTTTGGACATTGGACCATAATAGGTAAATTAAAAAAATTGAAGTTCTTAGACCACATTCTTTCTGTGTCAGAAACCTATGCTGTGTCAAATATTTAATCACAATCCAAATTCAGAGCTGTATCAAGCTTGAATGTTGTGTCCATACTTGCCCCAACTGTTCAGGGTTCAACCTCTGCGGTCGTATCAAGCTCAGTGTTCTCCCCAGGCCGATATGACGCTGCGGTACCGCAGCGCCTTCATAATATTTTTGAAGATCCCGCAGCGTCTTAATTGGCCGCTGTCCCTTAATACTTGATCCCGCAGCGTGTTAATTTTCACATTTTCATTATAAATGCTGGTTAAAATTGTCAAGTAACTGATCACCGCTGATGGGTCGGTCAGTGTTACGCAATAACTGATAATTAGTTTTACCTGAGCCACGCTTATCTCAGCCTTATCGGACTATGTTATCAGGTAATAGCGTAAGTGATCATCAAGAAGATAGATATTTTTTGAAGAAAATGAAAAATTTTAAAAACTTCAGTGCAGAAATTGAAGAAATAGATCGCAAATACATTGTATTTACGCATCGTGTGTGTGATCACTTGACCATTTATATAACGAATTTTTTCATTGGTCGAGAAGAAGAATCTATTTAAACACGACCAATGAACGTGTTGAATACACATGATAAATTTGAATACACATTGCTTAAAAATTTACGATGAAAACTATGAATGAAAGTATTATTAGTTGAAAAAATTAAAATAAAGTTTGATTAAAGATAACGAGGAGTGATTTACTTTAATAGATAATGAAAAAATGTTGCTTGCAAGGTAAATTCGTCTGAAACTGTCATATTTTTAGAAATAAAATGATCATTGCAAATCGATCGTGAATCCGTGCGTCGGGAAATATGTGACAATCAAAACGGGTACAGTATCGCCACAGCTTCTGTATAATGTCACTGGTAAATAATTTCAATGGTTTTAACTTAAACGAATTTGTAAAATTTCGTTTATATCTATCTGCCAAAGATAGTATTAAACAATAATACGCACGGAAGCGTAATGTGAAACTACGGAAACTGGTCAGCTGTTCATTTATAAAAAAAAATTGTTTTAAAAAGTTGTATACCAAATATCTTAACCATATTCGATTTTATTAATTCTGAATGAACATGTTCTCTGCAAATAACAAAGGGGTGAATTATAAGTAAAAGGTAGATGATGGAAGTATAGAAGTTTTTTTCAGACCAATGACTTCTAATGAAAAGGGGAATACACCTCCGTCTACACTGTCAGTATAAGCAGATTTCATTGCTTCTCCTAATCCCAACCAAGCTCAAGTTTTAGCAATTGATAAAAGCAAGCACCATGTTTCTGGTTTCAATGACAAGTGGCTGACTGAGTTTTCATGGCTTAGAAATGTTAAAGGGGGTATAAGCAAAAGTTATTGTGAGTGGGGGTTTAATTTTTAACCCTGAAGAGGATAAAGACAAAGTTGAGGAACAGACTGTCCAACAAAATAACACTATCTAAAAACAATATCCAGAGAAGGAGCAGAGAGTAGAGATGAATATTTATAATTTGACTTCTTTAATTGACTGAATATAAATAACTTTTGTGTTTAAAATCAATTTATTTCATATATATATTCTTGTAATTCATTAATACTCTGCATTATTAAACACATAACACAAAGCATTATAATTCATATTGCATGTCATGATTTATGACTTATTGCTTCAGATCACTCTAAAAAAAGAGTAACGCGCCCTTGAATTTTGCGCCTTAAAAAAATCCTGGGGAGAACACTGAAGCTGTGCCCAGCGAAGCATTTTATTATATTGTGGGATGGGACCACTACTGTGAAATATAAAGACGTACCTATGGTAATACAAATGTATACTAAATATCATTGATTTATAATAAGTGGTTCCCCTTAAACTGACCTAGTCACAAACTTAAACAAATTGTCGATGCCGACACCTAAAACAGCACGTCTAAGTCTTGCCTCCCCTTTTTCATAGACTTCATGAAAGTGGGACAAAAACAATAACATTTGTTCACAGGACACCATGCACCACTCACACTTTAACATTTGTTCACAGGACACCATGCACCACTCACACTTTAACATTTGTTCACAGGACACCATGCCCCACTCACACTTTAACATTTGTTCACAGGACACCATGCACCACTCACACTTCAACATTTGTTCACAGGACACCATGCACCACTCACACTTCAACATTTGTTCACAGGACACCATGCACCACTCATACTTTAACATTTGTTCACAGGACACCATGCCCCACTCACACTTTAACATTTGTTCACAGGACACCATGCCCCACTCACACTTCAACATTTGTTCACAGGACACCATGCCCCACTCACACTTCAACATTTGTTCACAGGACACCATGCACCATCACACTTTAACATTTGTTCACAGGACACCATGCACCATCACACTTTAACATTTGTTCACAGGACACCATACACCACTCACACTTTAACGTTTGTTCACAGGACACCATGCCCTACTCACACTTTAACATTTGTTCAAAGGACACCATGCACCACTCACACTTTAACATTTGTTCAAAGGACACCATGCACCACTCACACTTCAACATTTGTTCATAGGACACCATGCACCACTCACACTTTTAACATTTGTTCACAGGACACCATGCCCCACTCACCCTTTAACATTTGATCACAGGACACCATGCACCACTCACACTTTTAACATTTGTTCAAAGGACACCATGCCCCACTCACACTTTAACGTTCGTTCACAGGACACCATGCACCACTCACACTTTAACATTTGTTCACAGGACACCATGCACCACTCCCACTTTAACATTTGTTCACAGGACACCATGCCCCACTCACACTTTAACATTTGTTCACAGGACACCATGCACCACTCACACTTTAACATTTGTTCAAAGGACACCATGCCCCACTCACACTTTAACATTTGTTCAAAGGACACCATGCACCACTCCCACTTTAACATTTGTTCACAGGACACCATGCACCACTCACACTTTAACATTTCCATGCTTTGTGAACTGCAGAAAGTTTCAAGTTGACATGACTTCATGGTAAACTAACATAAACCAGAACTTTAACCAGAGCATGTAGATTTTACAATAGCACATTCCAATGGTCAGTAAACTGCAAAATATAGGTCTCAATCCTATTTTGAATAATTTTTGATTTGACCACAACTTTTTTGTAAAATCCTTAGACAACAATTTTACCCTGATAACAGTCAGGGTTGTTCCATTAAAACATACATATGGTACCCAGGGAAGGCACTTTAAAAATGGAGAAACCGCCTAAAGAGGCAAATTAGAATTTTACTTACATTTCCACTATGCAAAAACATAGATCACACCCACCCATAGTTAAGATTTGGAAGTGCCTTCCCTGGGTCCCATGTATGTTTATATGGAACAGCCCTCAGGGGTATGACTTAAACAATTGATTTCATTATTACTCATTTTAGTGATTCGAAAATTTCAGTAATCACCTATTTATGAGATTTTGGTGTTTCCCTTGATCTTCCAATGCCAATTTCATTAATTTTCCATTATATGATAACTTTTTCTGTAATTTGCCTACATAAATCATCCCTTTCTCCTGTATACTAATTTTATCAGTGGGCTGAGGCAGCAAGTTAGTGTGCTAAAGCTTTAAAAACTTACCTTAGGGAATTTTCTGTGATCAAATATTCATTCACTTCTCTAACAATTAGACAAAGGTCAACAATTTTAAATAACCTGATCTGTCTTCCTTACACTAAGGCTGATCTACAAATGATTCCAGTTTATGTATATATTTCAAATAAACTGTATAAACCGACAGGCTCATTGAGCAAAATATCACTTCTGCCTTTATATAGTTGTTTTTTTATGGAATCTTTGTCTCTTAACCAATAAAAAGATAAAGTTTATGGGAAAAATATCAAGAAAATTTAATAACCACTTACTTAAAGGGGCATTAGCTACTAGATAAAAAAAAGTTGAAATATGATTTTTTTTTGTTTTGTTCAATCATTAATGCAAGTGAAATAGTGAAATAAAAATTCGCTTTTAGTAGCCAGTTTGGTTCAATTTTGTCAAAATAAGCTAGAAAACATTGCTGATGAATTATACACTTGCAAGTGAATAATTCAACCTCATTGAATCTGTATTCATGTGACCTTCAATTTAACCCCTTAGCTAGAGATGGGTTATGCATAAACAGCTATTAAAAGGAAAATAATGTCAACATTGAAATAGAAACAAGGGTAAACCATTTGGTTGACTGATTCAATTCACCAAAACTCATTCTTATACAAGTAAAAACAATGATTAACATATTTTTTTAACCTATAATATGAATTCAAACAGACCTAAACAGGTCAAATTGAATTTGTTCGCTATCTATTTATATCTATATTTATGTTTATATCGGGTCATATTACCGTCAACAGTTTTCATAGGTCACCTCGATGGTTAATTAGATGGTGTCTAGACAAAAAATACACATGAAATGATACATATTATCGAGTCTGTATCGTAAATTTGTTTATTTTAGACCTTTTTATTATTTGGATATGTTTTAGTATGTTGTAAATCAAATATAAGAATTTGAGTCAAATCGGTGAACATGAATTTGACAGCTTATGCCCCTTTAAGTGTTTAAATTTTTTACTTCTCTAAATACTAGTTCATTCAATGACATCCCTGACAGGATAACAGACAGATGAATAGGGGACTAATGGACAGACACACAAACTGGTTAACAATATGACCTCTACCATTGTAGTTTTGCATGAAAATAGAAACAACTTTAATCTACAAAATAAATATGAAATTTGTTTGTGTTTGTTTTTGATTTTTTTTTATTAAGTGCAATAAAATTATTTGTTCATAGTAAAAACCAATGCCCTCCTATAGTAGATGAATGGTTGATAACTTTGAAAGAGAAGCACTAAAGAGGCTCCTGACTTGACACACAGACACACTAAAACTTGTGGTGGGGTTTAATCCATTTTACCTCTTTAGTATGGCTGTCTCTTTAACATTCATATATAGTATATTGGGCTATTTTCGCGGTTGGTTTTTTTTCCGCTTTTTTGGGGGATAAATGAATATCACGAATAGATTCCACAAAAATTTATGCATACATGTACGTTAGGTTCATTCTAATAGCTATATATCGTTTTGTGAATGATCTATTTTTTCCGGTCGGCAGGTCAATAGCGGTATGTGTTTGTTTGAACAACATTAATGCCAAAGGGCACTATACATACAAGTATTCTATAAAAGGATGTCATAAGTGCTAATTAAACAATGTATATGTATACCCTTTTTATTTAGTGTCAAATAATATAAGAGAGTGAGGTATTCTCAGACTGTTAGGTATTTTATCCTTCTTAATGAGTGTCAAATTATATAATTGTTGTAAGTCTCTCATGATAATTTTATAACCTAATTAGTACATCAAAGGTCCGACAATTTCGTAACTAATCAACCCTAACATTTACAATACATTTGTACACCTGTGACAAATATCTATGTCACCAGAATTTTATTAAATAAGAAGTCATTCAGCAAAGAAATGTTAAACTGTTCTCTGCCTGCCACTTTTTACAACTTTTTAATAGCAACCAATTCAGTATTCGCCAAATATTTAATTAGAAATTAAGAATCCACCAAAATTTTTCGTATACTTTGTTGCCCCTAAATTGCAAAATTTTACACCCGCGAAAAAAACCCGCTATACGGTAATTCAGTAAAAAGGGGATCACTCAAGGGAGATGTAGTGGTATACCTAGATGTAATATAAAAATAACACACAATTTGCAAATCGTGATTTATTTAAATGTATTACATCTGAATACAAAAGAAACTTAACAAGAAAAAAATCTAAATGTAAAGAAACTGAAAAAAAATTATTAAAAAAGCCACTTTAAGAACTGAAATATAAACAGTGTACCATTATAACATTAGACCTGCTTCAAAACTTTTTCACTGGAAAAAAGAAAGAAATGCCCCTTTATCAAATTGCGTAGTGTTGGACTTCTTAAGACATCCAAGTTTTATTATATTTTTAACTGGAATTAAAATCAACTAATACTGAAATGTTATTTTATCTAATCATATAAAACATCATACAGTGTATATACTCCAGAAGACCTTAACTTCATACATCATATTTGAAACCTGAACATTTGAAACCTGAACTACATACATACATGGGTGAAACTGATTTAAAAATTAAATCTCAATCTCATCTTCAATAGACTTTATCATAATTACAATATGAAATAAGCGTTTTATGTTTTAAGATATTTTAACCATTCACATCCCTCTTGGCACATTACAATACTGATGAACCGTATTCCCTTCAGAGTATTAAAAAAAGCCATATAATGACTAGAACTTCACAATCTATAGCAATTGTCATGTTTACATAAAACTGTCTGTTGAGCACTATCACAGCACTATCCTTACATCACAGTCAGCCCTCCGACGTCTGTTCTTCCTGTATCAGATTGCACTAATTTTGGATCTTCATCTGTCCAACCATTTGAGATATATCTTAAAAAGTCAGAAATCACATAGTAAATAAAAAGCTTGCACAACTTTCCAGCTTCAAGCATAGCTTAATAAAAAAAGTTTGTGTAAGATCTATCTTCAATGTGTCAAACACCTGGGTGCTCTTGTGTTAGCCACTCATAATTCAAAGTATCAGAGAACAGGATGTAGGTGTATAACAGATCCCAGAAGAGCACATTGTTACAACTCATCACTTTCAAGCCACTGACCAAATATGAAATTATTCTGTTTTATAGTTTCTGAGAAGAGTATGACAAAAATAATTGTTAGACAATTGGATGGAGAGACAAACAGACTGATATGGTGATTGGTATAAAAAGATAATGACGCATCATCCTGAACATACATGTAATCTTTGTCACTGTATGCTGACTAGACATCGATCTACCTTTAATTTGAAATGATTGAAACACAACTGATGTATCTCAGTACCTACATGGTCAGTTTATATAACACTCAAATCTTAACCCATGTCAGTAATATAGGATACACAGATCTAATACTCTTGGATGTAATCATCCCCATGTATAGAAGGAACAACCAAAAATATATATATTTCACACATGTAGCCTGTCTGCTTTGCGGTATCGGTTTTTTTCTCATTGTTGAAGTTCGTACAGTTGCCTATAATTACTTACATCCACTTCATTTGAACTGTTGTGGATAGTTGTCTCATTGGCAATCATACCACATCTCCTTATTTTTATAATGAAAGAAATAAAATCTGTTGTTTAACTGTACCTCCAGCACCAGGCGGTGCATATCCTCTTCCCATTGGTAACTTTTTATCTTTCTGCAGATTACCCAGAATGCCCTGAAACTGTCCCATCATTCCTCCTGCAAGAATTACCATTGTTAAATTCATAACACAAAGTATGACAGAACACTTTTTTGTTTGTTCCACTTTCTTAGCACTGATTAATTACTATATACACATCTGCTCTACTTTTAAAACAACAACTAACTTTTCCACCTAACATTAAACTTTTTTCAAATTTAATTTTGTTATGAAGAACTTTCAAAATTAAATTTTGTATCACCTGTTTACAACAGTTTAAATGAATGAGTGTAAAACTTACCCTGGACATTTGACTGGCTCCTCTGCTGCTGATGAACAGATGTTGGGAATGTTGGGACACTCCCATTATACTGCATGGACTGTACCATTCTATCCTGGAATTGAGACAGGTTAACCCCAGATTGTCCATTTCTTTCTGGGGCAACACTTGACTGCTGTAATCCTCTTGATATGTCAGCCATTGTCTATAAAAAGATAATTAGGAAATGGAACTAACACTTTTTTCTGTTCTGTTTTGTGTATAAAGATGTAGTAAAACATGATGTTAATGTGTTTACAATTATCTATAAATTTCAAGAAATAGATGGCATCTAATTGCTTCACATAGCATGGAACATAGTAATTTGTTAATGACCTGCGTCAATAATTCAGATGAACAGCAATATAATTTTCTCTTTGACACAAAGTTATTTTGAAAGTTTTTCATAGAATTGTAGTCTTCCAAATGCAGACTTGTGAACATTTTATTGTATGCTCTTTCTCATATAAGAGAAATGAGTATTCAAAGCTTGTAAGATTAATGTATTCTCATTATAGTAAACTGTCTTAAAGCTGCCCTTGTTTTGGCATAATCATTCAACACTTTATGAGAAGAAACAAAAATTTGCATGCAGTGCAGTGCTAAGCATACCCCCATGTTTACTTCAAAGTATCAGAATACATGAAAAAGCATTTGTCAGCAGCTGGACAGAGACATGTAATGTGTGAGTGCTTATAGAAACTGTTCCTAACCTTCTTAATGTATTCTGATACTACACTGCATGCAAATTTTTGTTTTTCTCATAAAATGTTGATTACACTGAGATATTAAAACAAATTCTGTTTGCTCAGAGGTGTTGCAACATGTTAATTTTTTACTAGATTTGAATCACATACTATTTTTTGTGGTTCTTTGACATCTTTCTGCCATGAAGCAGGTGGTGGTGGGGCAAAGGTTGGCTCTGGAGCCATGGCACGTCCTGCAAACTTCTGATCTGTAAGTACAATCATTATAATAATTAAAAAAAACTTATTTGATGGCATTAACTACTATTCTGATTCAAACAAACGCTTTGAACTTTTTCTTTTTTTTCCAAAAATATAATTTTTTACTGAAATACTTAAAAACCTGTTGAAGGCCGTACAATTACCTATGATCTCTGCATTTGAACTTTGTTGGATAGTTGTCTCATTTGCAATCATACCACATCTCCTTATTTTCATACTCTGGTAATATACATTAAAATACAAATCAGAAGATTGATAATATGAAAATAATTCTGAATTTTACCACTACAGTGTTATCCACAATTCTTTACCCCTCTATTCAAATAATTCTCTTAAGGATGTTCGCTCCTCTTGTTTTTGATTTTTTGTCAGATATTCGGAATCCTCTGGTTTTATCCATGTTTTTCCATTAAGAAATTTTGTCCACTAACCCCTACTTTTCTTTTCATAATTTTATTACATATACTTTAAAAAGCCATATTTGAAAACCTTATAAAATCCTTGTTATTTTTTCAATGTTTTTGAAAGAAAAAAGGTGCCAATGTTAAATGTATGAAAAATCTAGAGAGAATCATTTCCCGCCAAATTTTCAATGGCTTATATCTCGAAAACAAGCACAATGACCCTTCATTTTTTTCTGCTTTTTTAGTTCCTTCATTAATATACTATCAATTTATGACAGTCATTCAAAAAGCTTGTTATTTTGAAACAGAGTAGCGAACATCCTTAAGTAGTTTATTATTCTTTACTTCAAAAGAATTTCAATAATCCTTTGACCATTAGTATGAGCAACTGATGTGTGGTATAATTCAGTTGTTTAATTTTGCATACTCCAATTATAAATAAGTTTATACGTGGCAGGATGTTGAGAATGTCCCTATCAGATGCCTAATTCCAGGAAAAGTGGGTCATCCAAATCAAAACATGCACCAGATAGGTGTTTCACCATTAAACTAAAGTGATCCTAAACCAGCTTAATAGCTACAGGCAATAACAACTAGAGGCTCTCAAGAGCCTGTGTCGCTCACCTGTATCTACTGTAATTTTGGAAATGATGTAAAATAAGGTTAAAATCATAATAAATAGTATTAGATACCCTAATAATGATTGAGGCCAAGTTTGGTTTAATTTGGCCCAGTAGTTTTAAATTAAAAGCAGGTCATCCCATTGTAGTCTTACAATAGTTACTGAAGACCCCTTATCATTATTTAAATTAGTTTGTAAGTTTTGACCATTTGAAATTGTTTTTTTTTACAATTTTCCCATAGACTTCTATAGTAAACCCCCATGTTCTATTTTTAGCCATGATGGCCATTTTGGTTGGATTACAGGGTCATCAGATGCATTTTTCAATCAAGATACCCTATTGAAAATTGTGGCTTAGTTTAATTTCTATTTGGCCCAGTAGATTAAGAGGAGAAGACTTTTGTAAAAGATTACAAAAATTTACGAAAAATTGTTAAAAATTTACTATAAAGGGCAATAACTCCTTAAAGGGTCAATTGACAATTTTGGTAATATTGACTTATTTGTAGATTGTACTTTGCTGAACATTATTGCTGTTTACAGTTTATCTCTATCTATAATAATTTTTAAGATAATAACCAAAAACTGCAAAATTTCCTTAAAATTACCAATTCAGGGGCAGCAACCCAACAACGGGTTGTCTGATTGGTCTGAAAATTTCAGGGCAGATTGATCTAAACCTGATAAACATTTTAACCTCGTCAGATTTGCTCTAAATGCTTTAGTTTCAGAGATATAAGCCAAAAACTGCATTTTACCCCCTATGTTCTATTTTTAGCCATGTCGGCCATGTTGGTTAGCAGGTGGGGTTATCGGACACATTTTTTAAAACTAGATACCTTAATGATGATTGTGGCCAAGTTTGGTTAAATTTGGCCCAGTAGTTTCAGAGGAGAAGATTTTTGTAAAAGTTAACAGACGACGACGTACGCCAAGTGATGAGAAAAGCTCACTTGGCCCAGGTAAGCTAAAAAAGTCCTATGCAACTGTTGAATTCTAGGACATAATGACAAAATGACGGACAATGGCTAACACAAAATGCCTGTAATACTGAAGACAGGGGCATGCAAATATTTGAAATCAAAATAAAATTTTGTGTAATCTTTATATTGAAAAGCAAGCCATATGACAAAATTTGTCTTTTTTAAAACTCTATATTAAGTTATATTTCTTTATTATTGTTTATCAAATTCAACAACAAATAATTCATGGATCTATACAACCTTTTAAGATTAGTAGATTCAATCAAATAATTCATGGATCTATACAACCTTTTAAGATTAGTAGATTCAATCAAATAATTCATGGATCTATACAACCTTTTAAGATTAGTAGATTCAATCAAATAATTCATGGATCTATACAACCTTTTAAGATTAGTAGATTCAATCAAATAATTCATGGATCTATACAACCTTTTAAGATTAGTAGATTCAATCAAATAATTCATGGATCTATACAACCTTTTAAGATTAGTAGATTCAATCAAATAATTCATGGATCTATACAACCTTTTAAGATTAGTAGATTCAATTAGCATTTTAACTGTAGAAATTCTCAACTGCCATAGTATAAATGTTTCAAGTGTTACAATTTGTTCAATATTTATTTTTTTACAAACCTGTATTAATAATTTGAGCTACTGGTGCACCACGTCCAATACCAGCTATGGGATTGCCTCGACCAATGCCAGACAGACCAGGAGGTGCCATATTTGGCTGACTGCCACCAAGAGAAGGAAAACTATTTTGGTCTATAATATTAGGGGTTGTCTGAGGTCTAACAGGTACACCAGACCATGGTGCTAAGGATGCTAGGCCTCTTCCTGCTCCTCCGGGTGTCCCACCCATTCCTGTGTAGGCTGAAAAAATAGTTCATTCCATGATTAAAACAGTGACTTAACCACAATATTAATACCTCAATCTGCATCTTCTAAATAAAATTTGAACTAAACAATATATGTACTTGACACTTATCCATGTAACTTTTCACTTATACTTTCAGAAATAAATTTTTTTAATAACTTGACATTTCAAAAGTTCTAGATCTGATGCATGCTTATACGTGTGTAACTCAGTGGTTGTCGTTTGTTGCTGAATATCATTTTTGTTTTTTTGTTCATTGTTTTTTACATAAATCAGGCTGTTAGTTTTCTCGTTTGAATTGATTTACATTTGTCATTTCCGGACCTTTTATAGCTGACTATGCAGTATGGGCGCATTGTTAAATACCGTCAGTGACCTATAGTTGTTAACTTCTATATCATTTGGTCTCTTGTGGAGAGTTGTCTCATTGGTAATCATACAACATCATCTTATTTCTACATTATAAAAAAGACATACAATTAATAAGGTAGGGAAAAGGCATTATTAAAAGTAACAAGGTGAAATTGGATTTCTTTTAGTTTCGTCACTTTTTCTTTCTCTAAAATGACAGATATGAGAATTTTACCCCAAAAACAGGATGTTCAAAATAATATTTACATCATTTTATGCTATTAGCTAGTTGTATTCTGAGAGACTGTTGTTTTATAGATTATCTATGGTTTTGAAGACAAGAAACTTCCTTTAGTTGAAAGACCATAGATATTCTGTTTAACGCTGTTTTCCAAGGCAACCTCAATAACGTTGGCTTATGATGTCATCATGTTCTCACGCTACTCAACTGAGAAAATCCATTCTCAGTTGAGTTGCTTGAGATGGAAAATCATGATACAGAAGATCAAAGCAAAATTAAAGAAAATAGCAATTCATATAAATAATGAAAGAAATACATGCCACATGAATTATGATTACCTGGATTATGTGGTCGCCTTAATGAGGTATATTCTTCATCATCTTCGTCATCATCATCGTCATCACTGTCACCACCTCTGTTTAACGTTGGGGCATATCTATTTGTAGGAGCCTTTAAAAAGAGGAAAATGAATCTGATATCATTAGCAGGTTTAAAAGGGATAATAAATAAGTACACACATTTTAGTACAATATCTCTGTTGGCTATAAATATTTATACTATAAATTAAGAAAAATTGTGCATACATGTATTATTGTGATTGCTTAACACTGGACACACATGGAAAATTAGTTATTGCGATATGAAATGCTGCACAAATATTCCTATCAAAATTTAAAATGTAGTTTATATTTGTGTGAAATCTATCCCTTTGCATTCATAAAAACATCACAATCATTTCTTAATTTATAGTATTTCCAAAACCAATTTGATAATCTTAATTTAAGAAAATAAAAATAAAAACATCCTTTTAAAATTCCAACAGAAATTAGAAGTGTATGTCCTCAAATGTGATGTATTTGAGAGCTTTCTAATCACTAATGACTATACCTAACTAGTCTTGGTTTTATTTAGTTTTTTAACAACTATGTTTGGCACAGTCAACAGCATTATTTGAGCAGTCTCATCATGACAGCTTGGCTAATAATGACTTGACTTAATTTCAGTCAATCATGACAGCTCATCTGGTGATATGACCTTATTCTACTCCGTTTTTTGGTGGGGTTCCTGTTGCTCAGTATTTAGTTTTTTATGTTTTGTTTTGTATACTGTTGTTAGTCTTTTGGTGCTTTTTCTCAATGGCATTGTCAGATTGCCATCTACTTATGAGTTTGAATATCCCTCAGGGCTGTTCCATAAAAACTTACATGGTACTCAGGGAATGCACTTTTATAATGGGGTAACCACCAATTGAGGCAAATTTAGAATTTCAATTACATTTCCACTGTACTTGACAGCCACCCATAGTGATTTCAAAGTGCCTTCCCTGGGTCCCAGCATGTTTTTAAGGAACAGCTCTTAGGTATCATCCGCCTCTCTTCAGTCAATCAAAACAGCTTGTCAGAATTTCAGTCAACTATGACAGACTAAGATAAGACAACAATTCAAACCATCACATAATCTCATCTGATTATGATTTGAAACAATTTCAGTCAATGATAGTGCAATGTATGAGTATGATTGGCACTCATACCACATCTTCTTATATCTATGTATGATGGTGTGTATGGTTTTGTCTTTGAAAATATAATCTATCTAAAGTATACCAGCTTTAATGACAAACTTACAGGTTGAAATGTCTGTTGCTGTGGAGGTCTATTGTCATTCATGGGTCTTCTCGATGGCATTCTGGCTTGTTGGTTCATATCTATTTTCATGGAGGAAGGAGGTAACACCACACATGATACTGAACCTTCTTCACGTATTGGCAGATGTTTTGGTGTTATCTGAACACCATACAATGGACACACACTATCAGAAATGGCATATCTGATAAAAAATATATCAATCATAAATTAAACATGAAGTTACTTTTCTAAAGTTAACAATTGGAAATAAAATTAAACGATACTAATTATCTACGATTGAGGCCAATTAGTAAGACACCATCATCATCAAGGTAAAGCTTACAGAAACATGTGTTAGGCCATAAAAATAAAATTGAGAATGGAAATGGGAAATATATATGTGTTTATGATTTATTTACCCACCCTATTTTATTGCTTCCCTGACATTTCTTTTTTTCAGTATTATGAAAGTGAACCATTGAGTTAGAGCTGTTCCTGAAAATACTATGTACTCCCAGGAAAGGCTATTTTTGTATTACAGTAGAAACATTCAATATTCATATATGGCTGTAACCGGAGAGACCATATGTAAATATTGTCAAGACGACATTTGCAAAACTATTAATGAGACGGATACTGACCTAAAATGTCTGGAATCTATGATCTTATGATGCAAAATGTGGTGTGTCCAAAATGTTACATTATTGTCAAAGATTTGTAAGAATGTGCCGAGAGACGAGGAATTGTCAATTAGCAGACCTTTTTCTGACAGAAAGTTATTGTCTCTAAAGAGGCTCCACGAATCCTATAACTTGCATATGATTGATTTTTGCTTGCTTAACATCTTGTGATGAATAATTCATACATGTTAATTAATATATAGGGATTGACTTGACATTTTTTGTTTATTTACTTACGCATATCTGTTAACTAAGCCAAGGGAGCAAAATTTACACTCTAACTCTTCATGGAAGTCACACCTGAAATCATTAGTAACTGTATAAATCAAGGCTTCCAAAACGGTCATATATGCCGGACATTTGTATAATGTCCGGTAAAAGTCCGGCTGGGCAAAGCATGAAACGATCATCTACTTTTTAATTTTCAAGGCTTTCTTAAGAGACGGTCATTTTAACAAAAATCGTGATCTTTTTGACCCCACCTTTTATCTTTAACAGCCACACATTTTCAGTCATAAAAGTGACATTATCATTAAGTACTATCAAAACAACCCCTACTTTAATACCTTCTCATTTTAATCAAGGCTAATAAGTTGTCGAATAGCTGAAATTTACCTGTTCAGGTGACAGGTAAACTATTTTGAACCGGACATTGATCGGTCTATTTAAAGTTATTTTCTTACATTTCAGCGGTTTGCATCTAATTAATTTAGTCAAAAAGATTTAAATTATCAGAAATACGTTTACAAATATGATTTGATGAAAATATGATTTGATGAAAATATTAAAAAGGTGAAAATGAAAAATCGTCATAACCACCTGTTTGAACCAGAGACATGTCTCTGTTTGAACTAGTACACGTGTGCGCATGTGCACATGTGCGCAGGTGTGAAATTTAATTATGCATCCTAATTTCTTAAAAAAATGCTTAAATTGTCATTGATACCTTTATCTCACGTTCATTTAGAATATTTTCTTGAAGAAATAACGTAGAAATGCTACTAACACTCATTCATGCTTTGCAAACGTACACGGAATTTACGTATCCGTCTCTGGTCCATGTTTTACCATTGTCAAGATAACATCCGGTATTAGATTTAAAAACGAAAGTAAAGTTTTTGACAACGTTATTTTGCACAAATAAAGAGTCTAAGGCAGATATAAGTACGCTGATGTTGCACACTTCGAATGATGCACTGCCAATTTAACAGTTTACGTCAGAACTTCAAATTTGAATCAAAGAAAGTTTAATATCGTTTTTTTTTAATGTCAATCATTGGGATGGCCAACTCGGCAACTGATTACCATAATTGCCCTTTGTTTATCTTGTCTTCAGAGATTAAAATCGGGATAATATATAAAATGTCCGGCTGGCTAAAAATAATTTTGGAAGCCCTGGTATAAATTCATCTTTTTTCATAACACAATAAAATGCTCCGCAGGGCGCAGCTTGATACGACCGCAGAGGTCGAACCCTGAACAGTTGGGGCAAGTATGGACACAACATTCAAGCTTGATACAGCTTTGCATTTGGATTGTGATTAAATATTTGACACAGCATAAATTTCTGACACAGAATGAATGTGGTCTAAGAACTTAAAAATTTCAAATTGGAAATTCACCTATTATGGTCCAATATCCAAAATCTAAATACATGGTTAGATTCAGCATATCAAAGAACCCCAAGAATTCAATTTTTGATGAAATCAAACAAAGTTTAATTTTGGACCCTTTTGACCTCAATGTGGACAAAGTTGATAACGGGGCCCAAAAATCAAAAATCTAAATACATGGTTAGCTTCAGCATATCAAAGAACCCCATATATTTAATTTTTGTTGAAATCAAACAAAGTTTAATTTTGGACCCAGATTTGGACCAACTTGAAAACTGGGCCAATAATCAAAAATCTAAATACATGTTTAGATTCAGCATATCAAAGAACCCTAAGAATTCAATTTTTGTTAAAATCAAACTAAGTTTAATTTTGGACCCTTTGGACCTTAATGTAGACCAATTTGAAAACGGAACCAAAAATTAAGAATCTAAATACACGGTTAGATTCGGCATATCAAAGAACCCCAATAATTCAATTTTTGATGAAATCAAACAAAGTTTAATTTTGGACCCTTTGGACCTCAATGTGGACCAATTTAAAAACGGGGCCCAAAATCCAAAAACTAAATACACGGTTAGATTCAGCATATTAAAGAACCCCAAGAATTCAAGAATAAAACCCCATTGAAATTGGTCAAGAAATAAGCAATTTATAGGAAGTATCTTCTTTTGCACAATACTGTGCAATTAAATATTTCTTGCTATTGCGCAATACTGTACAATTGACAATTTCTTGATATTGCGCAATATTGTGCTATTGGATATTTCTTGCTATTGCGCAATACTGTGCAATTGAAGATTTCTTGCTATTGCGCAATACTGTGCAATTGAAGATTTCTTGCTATTGTGCAATACTGTGCAATTGAAAATTTCTTGCTATTGCACAATACTTTTTATATAATAATTTACACATCCTGTTTGGTGTGTATCTCCTACCATATCATTATTATTTGCTTTTAAATATTAATCAGAAATAACCAACTTAAAATGGAAAATTTTAAAAGAAAAAAAAAGGAAAAAAAGAAAAAAAAAGGAAAAAAAAAAAAATCCCCTCCCCCCAAATTTTTTGAACCCCCTTATGATTCATCACCCCCAAACTCAATCCCAGCCTTCCCTTTGTGGTATGGTACCTTGCAGTACAATTTCAGAGAGATCCATACACTTGAACACAAGTTATTGTCTGGAAACTAGAAAAATGTGTTTTTTGGCCCCTTTTTGGCCCCAAATTCCTAAAATATTGAGGCAATTACCCCCATCATCAATCCCAGCCTTCCCTTTGTGGTATTGTACCTTGCAGTACAATTTCAGAGAGATCCATACACTTACACACAAGTTATTGTCCTGAAACTAGAAAAATGCTTGTTTTTTGCCCCTTTTTGGCCCCTAATTCCTAAAATATTGAGGCAATTACCCCCATCATCAATTCCAGCTTTCCCTTTGTGGTATGGTACCTTGCAGTACAATTTCAGAGAGATCCATACACTTGAACACAAGTTATTGTCTGGAAACTAGAAAAATGCTTATTTTTGGCCCCTTTTTGGCCCCCAATTCCTAAATGTTTCGGCAATTACCCCCAAACTCAATTCCAGCTTTCCCTTTGTGATATGAAACCTTGTAGTACAATTTCAGAAAGATCCATACACTTACACACAAGTTATTGTCATGAAACTAGAAAAATGCTTGTTTTTTGCCCCTTTTTTGGCCCCTAATTCCTAAAATTTTGAGGGAATTACCCCCAAAATCAATCCCAGCATTCCTTTTGTGATATGGAACCTTGTGGTACAATGTCAGAGAGATCCATACACTAACACACAAGTTATGTCTGGAAGTTACAAAAATGCTTATTTTTGGCCCCTAATTCCTTTACTGTTGGTACCATAACCCCCAAAATCAATCCCAACCTTCCTTTTGTGGTATTGAACCTTGTGGTAAAATTTCATAGAGATCCGTGCACTTAAACTAAAGTTAGAGTGCGAAAACCAATGTGTCTTCGGACGACGACGACGACGACGCCAACGTCATACCAATATACGACCACAAAAATTTTTTTGCGGTCGTATAAAAATAATTCTTATCACAGTTAAGGAATACATTGAAGACAGGTTGGCAATGAAATTTGAAAAAAAAAGAAATAAGTGCTATTCCATAAAATTAATGTGGGAGAGAGAGAAGGGAAGTTTGATTTTTTTCCATGAGTTATATGTCATTTATAGATGTTTTTCCATTTGATGTATGCACTATATCTCAAGTATGCTAGTGGGGGGTTTTGAAAGTAATTTCTTACCCTCAAATTTCCATTTTAATGGAATAAACCAACTGATTTATTGCTTGTTGGTTTTTTAACATTCAGATGAAGTCATTTATAAAATAAATGCTGAGAATTTTAACTATAAGGATTCTTTTTATAATTACCTGGTTTTTGGTTCAAAATCCCATGTATGTGCTGTCATTAAATCTATCACTTGTGTTTCTGACACAGAATGTCCTATATGTCCAAATAAATCCTGAACTAGTCCCTCTAAATTATATACCCTCCTCAGTCTATTGGCATATCCTAAACAAGCTTTATCATGGACCCAGTTTAAACAATATTCTAGTTCTTCAACATCTGTTCCCTGTAAATAAAATATTAAATAATTCATACAGTGACTTTCTCACTTCATGCAATATTTTATACTTGTTTTGGCATTTTTTGGCAAAATAAAAAACTTAAGATTTTTTATAAAATCACTATTAAATATATATATAGAACCAACAAGATATACTGTGAGCTATTACTCACTCATTATGCCACCCCCTTTTAAGAATTCAGTAAACTCTAGTTCCTAAGAAAAATGTGAGGAAAATTTCATGCATGACCATTATGTGTATTATGTCTCATTGGCACTCATACCACATCTTCTTATATCTATTAAAAAATATTTAGGTATTCAATAAACAAGAAGTTGATGGGAAATGAATATGAAAATACACCAATCAGTATAGCATTCTCTCATTACGCTTGATACCAAATTTCAGGAAGCTCTAATTTGAAGTTCATGAGAAAAATTATCAATCTTTTTATTTTCTAAAAGTTCTAATGTGGTTCATATATTCTATTGAAATAAATTTTACACATAAAAATGTCAATTAAGGTCAAAAATAAAATTTGAATTATTTAATGTTGCCTACCTACACACCAAAAAAGCAGCCTACCCAAAATATTTTATGACACAAATCGTTTCAAATATTTTTTTAAAGATTTTTTCCTGCTCTTTTCCTGTCTAAAACATGTAGCTTATGTTGTTGACAAAAAAAATAATAAAATCCCTACCTACCTACTCAACTGTACAAGGCACGGGGAGGCAACTTCAAACAAAGAATTTTTTAGGGGATCCTAATTTACAAGAATTTCAGTAGCAAACATAACATATTTTTCTTTGTTCAATTCTTTTCTTTATCTAGCAAAGATAATATCAGATTATTGCATAAAAATTTTCATATCAGATGTATTAATATTATCAGCCCTAGGTGGTCAAGATATCAGCCCAAGAACCGTAAAAGCTCAAATGTACTTATATTTTCTACAGATTTTACACTGATATTTTTGAACAGACAAACTGTATTAAAACATTTTAGACAGATCTTACTCATCAAAACAGTTTAAGGTTTTTGCTGTACTTTCATAGAGCATACCAAAGTTTTAAAAATTTAGATTAAATGCTTTTATTGTACAAATAGTTTTGTATTTTTCATTATACATGTATATTTTCATGTTTCCTAATATTTAGCTTTCTCCCAGCTTTGTTACTTTTTTTCATTGAAAACATGCCATTTAGGTATATTTTCCTGAATTTGCAGAGTGATGATGAATTGCCATTTGATAACTTTATGGACAAGCATTCGATAATAATGGCAAGCAGTTAATAAATTTTTCAAATCAGCCTGCTAAGCACCATTTTGCAGAATACAGGATTTGCACAAATTTAATTCTACTGTAAAAATTATAAATTATTTACTTGTATTTGATAAGCAAAATATTTTGTTTGTAATTCATTTATCGTTTTTTAATAAAAGTATATAGCATTAGCATGACTAGAGAACCTTTACCTTTCATTTGTCAGAAAACTGCACTTGTCTCTTCTAGGAAAAGAAAGAATATGGGATTGATGTCCATGAGATCAAATCTACATGTACTAAAATTAGATTGTTTTGTACAGTCTGTTGTTGTGTTGAGCAGTTGCACCACTGTCCATGGTGGAGGGTTGGGCACTCGCTAACATGTTCAGGCCTGCCACATTCTGTATGTGCCTGTCCCAAGTCTGGAGCCTGTAATTCAGTGGTTGTCGTTTGTTGCTGTTTATCATATTTGTTTTTTGCTTATTGTTTTGTACATAAATCAGGCCATTACGTTTTCTAATTTTAATTGTTTTACAGTTGTCATTTCCGGTCTCTTATAGCTTGCTGTGCAATATGGGTTTTTCTCATTGATGAGAGCCGCAAGATGACCACAGTTGTTAACTTCTATGTCATTTGGTCTCTGATGGAGAGTTGTCTCATTGGCAATCATACCAAATCTTCTTATTTTTATAATGTAGGAACTCTTTGTAATGTATCAAATGTCATTCTTATAAATGTTAAATATCACACAAGTTCAAAACATGTTTTCCCAGAGTTTGACTTCTTCATTATCTTTTAAGTAGTTCCCTAATTATGATCAACAAAGGTCTGGTAATGTTTTTCCCTTCACATGTGATTTTCTAGCACTGAGATTTTTTGTAAGTTAATCCAAGGTTAAAAGTATCTAAAGAACTTTACCTGACCAAATTCTTAATATTATCTAATTATCTATATTCTATTAGGTCCAAACTCATACATGCAAATAAACCATCCTTACCATACAATAAAAGGGAGGATACTCTGGTTTTTCACCATTTGGATTTACAAAGTTTTCCAACTGAATCCAAAGTCCACGATAATTAGCATCAGACTTTTCAAATCTCTCGATAGGAATTTTATGGGTGTCCTCACCTAAAACAAATAAAATTTATAATGGAGGGAAGAAGGTTTACAATTGTTTTAACCAATCACAGTCAGATGTTTTCAATTTATTACATATTTGTTATAGCACCATTGCCATTGATTGTATCACACATACAATTTACTTGTAATTACTATTAGGTATATAATCAGCGTAGGACACAGCCAGTCGCCAAACTTTGATTGGGCGATTAGAAATGTCAAAAGATGGATAGTAACTGGCCCAAAAATAAATCATTGGGCGAGTGCATTAGTGCATATCATTCTCAAAATCATAGTTACTCCTATCAAAACCCACCCCAACTTCGGAACACCCATTGTCGGAAAGCCTCTGGTCACACCGTTAAAACGTGCTAGTGCATTAGAATATTAACATGGGGAATACAAACAACATCGTGACATGTGCTTGTTTAGTGGGTCAAACAAGGTTTTCCAGTCAATGGTGGCCGCTAAACTATTGGTGTTTTATATAGGATAGCGACAGTCATTGACAGTAAAACCTCGTCTGACCCACTAAAAAAAACAAGGGCAAGGGAATTCTGAAAAGAACTCCATACACGGATACAACTGATAAGCCGTCAAAATAATTTTCATACGAGTGTAGATAGTAAACACCCAAGGACAGAAACAAGTGCCTGTGGCAGTGACATAAGAAAATATTACGTTTATAAAATGTCTTTTGATTTTGTTTTGCATTGACACTTTGGACATACAACCTGTTGAAATGACTGACCGAATAAAATAACGCGAAAATTCCCGTGCTATTTTTAGATCAATTCGCAGAAACTTGTTTAATTTTGAACGCAACTGCAAAATTTCCTCAGTGAAAGACAGGAAATCACTATGCAACCGAAACGGTAATGGAACTTCACTTCTAGCTACTCTCTCATGGAATGAGAAGTCAATTTTCCAATTCAAAATCCTAGATTAGGCACTGGACAGTGATGATGAATTCAGTGACAATGAAGACTATGGGAATGAGTTTTTTTTTAGGTTTATGTGTCGGGAAGGTTGAAGAATTAAGAACATCTATTTATGTTGCTTTATTGTCATTTTTATGGCTCAACACCGAAAAAAATTTGAGTAAAATAATTGGGCTACCAATATGCATTTTGGGCCTGTGAAGTAATTTTTGCACTCGCCCCCGACTGTCCTACACTGTATAATAATTACTGAAACGTTGCAGATACATCAGATATTTTTGCTGTTTTTAATATTAGATAAAAGTATGTTTCTGAAAAAGGAAAGTTGAGGGGAATAAATCAAAGCTTTTGTTGTTCTACTGGGGGAAGTCTGTAATTCATGGAAAATAATAAAGGAAGCAATTATCATATTGGTGTTACCCTATAACAAATGCCTTGCACTTATGAAATTTCAGCCAATACAACTAATGTTCAGGTTAACAAATCCAGCATCAGAATGGAAAACTGTGAAGGACTCAGAGCAGAACACTGACAAATATATTTACATGTATTACAAATATTTTCAATTTCAAAATGGATCAAAGTACTTAAAATACATAGAATAATGGAAAATGTAGATAACTTACTTTTACTCTTGCACTCATATCTGTACCCAGTAGGAATTCTTCCTGTAATTATCAAAATACATCATTATCATTAACTTATTTTTTTTTTCTCTTACATCTGTCATTTCAAAGAATTAACTAGTGTTGATTATATGGTGGTAACCCTTGACATCACTAAAATAATTACCTGTCTCAATGAATCTATGAAGTGTCTTGGTTATCCCTGATTTAATGCTATATAGTATTTATATACTTAAACATTACATGTATTGCTCTCTTAAATGCCGGTCATGACCCTGCAAGAATTCCCCTAGAAACCACGAGGGGGCTACTAGTATGAGAAAGTAATTAAAATTTTGCAGTTTAATATAGGGAATAAAAAATTTGCCACTCAATTTTGATAAAATTGCTTTGAAGTAATGGGAGAAATAATTGTGTCCCCGTTCCTGTCAAGAGTAAAGTACACCTGACGGAATTATGCAACAAAAATCTTCATATTGTGGTTTATTTGATAGACATTGAAAAAATATTGGAGAATTATAAAGATTTTTTTATATTTATCATATTGGTGTCATGTTACAGGCTATTATGTAATAAATTAAAGAATAAACAATTTTCCTAAGTTTGAGTAGATATCTTCATAATATTGGCTGCAAAGATGTATCATATGACAGACAGTGTTAGATTGTGCAGTTTTATTCCATTTTTTTCATTAAAAGTACAGTTGACCCTTCATTTATTATCATTTTAACTGTATAAAGTGTGTGTAATCTAATACCGAAGCAACAAAATGATGCAAAAAGGCAATTTTGGACCCTGAAATATAGCCATCAATTAAACTGATCAAATCTGTAGTAAGCTTGAAATATCGTTACGGTCAATCAGTTCTAGATTTGTACTTGAAAGTAATAGTAATTTTATATGAGATGGTGAATTAAAAGTCAGCTAAATTTTGACAATTTTCATCAAAATAGTCAATATTTTTAGAGAGAGTGTTCCATTTCCTTATTATAAAAATAAGCTTGTTTGTTGCAGGACTTGCTGATCAAATTTTTCATTCCAAATATATTCAATTTTTGCACAAAAAAAATGGCAAACTATAGCATATTTATTGTTTCTATTATAACATTTCCTTTATCAGAAAGTTTTTTTATAGCTAAAAAGTTGTATGGGTTGAAGAAAAATTCTTTTGAGACTTCTTTTGTCAAATATGAGTTTTGAATGAAAATATGCTCTTTTCATGTGAAGGGGTGGCCTCTTGTTCCTGTCTATAAAATGCACAGAATAATGACTTACATCAAAAACATTTTGATTTTATTGAAGATAAATGATTTCTTTCAGAAAATAACATGATTTTTCTTCTTTTTGTTTCATCAATGTAATAGCACCAATCTCACAGGGGAGATAATCTCCATCGTCTAATAATTTCCTGGCTCGATGAATCTATGTAGTGTCTTGGTTTTTTCTGATTTAATGCTGTAGTCATTAGCACCAATCTCACAGGGGAGATAATATCCATTGTCTAATAATTACCTGATTTAATGAATCTATGTAATAGCACAAATCTCACAGGGGATATAATCTCCATCATCTAATAATTACCTGGCTCAATGAATCTATGAAGTGTCTTGGTTATCCCTGATTTAATGCTGTATTCAATAGCACCAATCTCACAGGGGAGATAATCTCCATCATCTGTCTTACACAATGTCTGTATGTTCAGTAGGTAAAACTTTTCACTTGCCAATACTGTTAAAAAAACATTTGTGTTTATAGTGGAATTCTAAGTATTCTGTATTATGTCTTCAGTTATACATTTTAACAAACAATTATGAAAATACATGTCTTCCGATAAGTTACTAATTTCAGTAGAATTTGGATTGCAACTAGCTTTTACATGTTTTTAATATCATTATAAACAGGCTAAGATGTAAAATAAATTCATTTACTGTAAATTCAGAAATTATTGCGAGGTTTTTATTAATGCGAATAATGCGACTGGGTAAGTATCGAAATAATAAGAACTCACATTCTAATATCTGATACATGTATCTGTATGCAGCTTTACCAGAAATCGCAATAATTCATATCGTATTTTGGTCCATTCTTCAAAAATCGCAATAGTAAATGCATGCAATAATTTCTGAATTTACAGTATTTCATTAATTTTTTTCAGTGAAACTAAAATGACAGATTCTTTGATCTAAACTGGTGACACTGACTGAGGGTGGGGCCAAAGAGTTTATGTAAATCTCTAATGCTCAAACAACTTAATACCAAATATCCTTTACTTAACAAAAGTGGTTCCCCTTAAAATGACCTTCCACAAATGTTAACATGTACACTATACAACGTTTCAAAGTCAATAGACTATATCTGAAGAGATGGGGTCAAAACATTTCAATGGTAATGAGATGTACAAATGCTAAAATTACTGCTTACCAAATATCATATACTAATGATTTACCATTAGTGGTTTCCCTTTAACTTACCTCATTGCAAACTTTAACAAATTGTTGACACCCAATGCCTATGCTGAAAACAGCAAGCATGTCTTGCTTAAAATGGAAGGCAAGATAAAATTATGACATTTTGCACCTGGTTATCTCAATGTTACAACAGTATGCATGTTTGCAGAAATATTTTATAAAATGTAGAAAACTAGAAATACACATTAAAAAAAAGAAATGAAAGATTAAATCTTACATTTTCCTGTTGGCCATTGTGATTTTACACAATTCCTTTCTTTCGTTCTTCTCTTCTGTAATTCTGCAAACTCATCTCTTCTTTCCTACAATTATATTTAATAAACAGTATACAAAATAAAGGATATCATTCAAATATACAGCATTATACAGTAAATTCAAAGGTTGTGATAATTAATCAGTGTGTTTGAGGTTTTGGGTTTATAGAGTAATAATTCTTATATGATTTGCATATTAGAGAATACGTTGATATGATTGGTTGAGAGGACTTCCGGTAGTTGTTCTTGACGTTGTTTATTTTTCGATAGACGACGTTGACCGAACTTCTTTTCGTAACCAATGTAAACAAGATGGCGGCGATAATGACACAATCCGGATTGACGTTAACAAAATTTATTTTCAATCCGCGTTAATAGTTAAATCAAATAATAAACACAAACCATTCGTTTCAATGATAATAAGATTTTTTGTAGTTTATTTTTCATCAGATTGGAAATTTCATGGAGTACATATTTTTGCGTTAACCAACAAATAAATTCATGCGCCAGGCCTATTCAATGACACAAATATACAATTTACGTGTGATAGAGGTTACGAGTGTGGAAATATAAATTCCTTATCTCCAATTTTAAAGAATTATAAGGATATAACGCCTTTTTAAAGGAATTTATTGGTGTATAAACTGTACCAAGTCACTCACAAACATATCATAAAAGTCCTTCGGACTTTTATTTGTTTGTGAGTGAATTGGTCGAGTTTATACACAAATAAATTTCTTTGAAAAGGCGTTTAATCCTATAATATGGCCTTCTAGCGCTGTATTTTGTGGGTCATCCCATTTTGCTGGTCAAAAGACTTTCCTTACACGTCCTATTTCCAAATTTCCAACCAGCCTAGATTACTTGGTTTTATACAGACGTTACTCATACCTGAAAATGTTCTTTTAATATTCATATACTGCATATAATCATGAAACTAATAAGAAACAAAACAGGTAGGTGTCATGTGACAAAATTTGTACATGACTCTGCTTAGATCTCTGGAAAAGTCCATTTTTACAAAATGTTTCATTTTTGTTAACCCTTTCGCCGATGAGTCCCGGTTTACCGGGATTCACGTTTCAGACAGCTGACGATGAGTCCCGTTTTACCGGGATCGGAATACCTCTTTTATATTTCCCACTCAAAACAGTGCAAACACAAGTTATCTTTCTTTGTTGAATACCCGGATGAAAGTGTAAACATGGCGCTTCCGTTTGTTGAAAACCGTGTCAAAATCAGAGGAAATTTACAGAATTTACGAGAATTTGAAATGAGGGAACATTTTTTTTGAAAGAATATGGAAGAATTGAAGCCAAACTAGTATACTTTTTTGACATAAAATGTCGTTTTATGTACAAAACACTTGGAATGGACATCGTTCAGTGTAAGGAATTTGTACAGCCTCATTAAATTTTCAAAATTTTTCCGTTTTGGGTTAAAAAATTACGATTTTGGGTCAAAGAGCAGAATTTTGAGAATTTCACCTAGATTATGCCGAAAATTTGAAAATTTGAAAATTTTATGAAGAAAAAATTATCAAAACATGAACAAAACTGTGAACATGGTGTAAGTGAATAAAATAAAAACACAAATAACTACAGACAAGTTTTTATTGACATTTATTATGAAGATCTCCCACTTGAGTAATAGTAGCCAGGGAAGCCATCGTCTCAGAGTAGCTTCTGTCTGGGCAGCTACAATGTATCGGTGAAAGGGTTAAGCTGTTAAAATAGTTCATAGATTTTGATATTAGTTTTGTACTGGTAAAAACAGCTTACTACATGTGATTTTACCCTGTTTTTGTTTACTATAACTTATAGATAACAATGTCCTGGTATTATCCTGTCTGTTTTTGTCTACTATAACTTAATTACAGATAACAATATCCTAGTATTGTCCTGTCTGTATTTGACTACTATAACTTACAGATAACAATGTCCTGGTATTGTCCTGTCTGTATTTGACTACTATAACTTACAGATAACAATGTCCTGGTATTGTCCTGTCTGTATTTGACTACTATAACTTACAGATAACAATGTCCTGGTATTGTCCTGTCTGTATTTGACTACTATAACTTACAGATAACAATGTCCTGGTATTGTCCTGTCTGTATTTGACTACTATAACTTACAAATAACAATGTCCTGTTATCATCCTGTCTGAATTTGTCCCCTTCTGCTTTTACTTACAGATAGCAATGTCCTGGTGTTATCCTGTCTGTATTTATCTCCTTCTGCTCCTCTCATTTTCGCCTTGTACTCTTTAGATATTTTTTCAAATCGTTCTTTTTCTTTTTCTGGTAAAATCTGGATAAAAAGCACATATCAAACTCAAAGCAAAGTTTCAACACTTGAATGTCTTTATTCTGAAATATTCAATTTTTTCCCCAAAGAAAATGAACTATCAATCTGCAGTGAGTCCTGAGGTCAAATTAAATCTCCAAGGAACAATTTTAATGTATAATGTACATGTCATAAATTCAGAGGCACAATGTTTATAGTAAGGCCAAAAAAAAATATATGTCTGTTTACGGTTACCCGTCCAACCCTACTTTTGAGTGCCGACCCTAAGTCATTTTATTTCCGTCATAAAGTGAAAAATAAACTGAACTCGTGTCAAAAGCAAAGTTAGTGTGCCAATAATCTAAATCAATTGCCTGATAAATCCCAATGTTCACAATCGTGAATATGACAGCTGTTTTAAGGAAATTCGCGACTCGTGTGATGAAATAAACACTTTGCTGCCATTTTTTTCCAACCAATAACCAAGGGAAATAATCCAATCATTAAAATTAACGGTTAAAATCGGCCCATGATCAACTCGGACCACGACAAGACGAAACCGCATGACTCAAAATCATGTCACAAAAAATAAAAATGAAAAAATAAAATAAAATGGAAATACCGACCTACCTACCCTATTTTTTTAAAGTATGTAACCTTAAACAGACATATATTTTTTTTGGGCCTAATAAAAACATTTTAGTTACATGTACAATGCACAACATACTTCATCTACAAACTTAAAAGACCACTTTTGAAAACTACCATTCACTTAATAAGATGGTAAAATTATTTTCTTTCCATTTTCAATAATTACATGCTCAGGAGCCTTTTATAAACTTTATTTTCTTTACTTGGGAAATTATATTTTTCCCCAGTATTGCTCTTGATAGCAATGTTCTTTTTGTTCAACCACTAGCTTAATGCTAAAAATCGTCACCAAGCATTTTGTAAAACCGAGAGCAAACATATTTGACAGGTCTCACTAATTAGAGATAAGCTGCGTCAAGAAATGACAAAAACAGCAAATAATCAACTGTTATTGATTGACTTTTTCTATAAATTTATTGTTTTCATAATATATAAACTTTCTTGTCGCTAAATTTGTCTTCTTGCTTCTTGTCTCTAATTTTTTCTTCTTGTCACTAATTGTTTTCTTCTTGTCGCTAATTAGTGAGACCGTATTTGACTGACAAAAACAACTTTGATAAATGGCCACTAAACCAAACTATATGAAGGTAAATGATTTTGAAAAGACTTCTTGGTGTTTTTATTTTGAAGGAAATGAAACCTTTTCCCTTGAGAAACAGCTGATGTTTATCTAGCCATTTCAATTTGTTTGGTCATACAAACCTTGGCGAACAGACCACGGGTGAATGTGTTTAGTGGGATGACATTTCCCATGCCATCAGATCATATGATAAAGTGACTACAATTTTTAATAACAGTGCTTCAAAAAATTATGTTTGTTAGTGTTACTTGTTTTAAGTATTCTTCATGTGCTTCTTATATTGCCAAGTTTTATGTGTTTGTAAAACTCTCAGAAGAGTTTATGCTCTGTGTATTTGTTTAAACCATATCGACTTTAAAAAAACATTTGATATGCATTATTAAAGAAATTATCGTCACCTTCCATCGTGGATGAGCAATGGGAACAATATCTGCCATTCCATGAGGGAAAACTCGACCTTCCCGCTTCAGCTGTGGTTCGAGTTCTTTCATATAGAAATAAAAAGCATTTTTAACTTGTTTCTTCGGCATGTCGTCTCATTAATTGTTTGAAACAACGTAAAATTTAGTGTCTTTTCTCTGTTCATCAATTACTTCCCGCGAATCCGAAATTTTAATTTGGAAGACTTTTAACGAAACGAAAGTATTTCCGACAAAGCTAAATTAAATAAAACATTTTCGAGCGTGGAACGTGTTATTAGCCACAATCATTAGCACACAATAGCTCAGCATTATTACTTAAGCTGTCTTCCTCTTTCATATCAAATTAATGAATATAAGGAATCGGTTGATAATATGACATATTAAAAAATAAAAACAACATGTTATAAATTCCAAGCGTCCGAAGCGCTTTTCTGGATTTAACTTCATCATAAGGAAAACTCAAAGCCGAATATTTGAAAGCCAAGGATAAATAAGAACCGAAATAGCTGAAGAGCTCTATGAACAAAAATTGCCTAAAAATAGCCAAATCTGCCTAAGGTCAATTTTGCCTGTGGGAGTTGAAACCTTAGTTTCTTTATTATTTCAAAATTAATATACGTCAAACAATTTTAGAAAGGTTTGTTATAAATCATGTCAGAACTAAAGTACTGAATACTGAGCTGAAGATATCCTCGGGGACTGATAGTCCACCAGCAGAGGTATCGATCCAGTGCTGTAAAAAATGAAACTTGACAACACGTTATAAATTTCATGCGTCCGAAGCGCTTTTCTGGATTTACCTTCAAATTGAGAATGGAAACGGGGAATGTGTCAAAGAGACAATAGCAGTTCAAAAAGTTCAAGTTCAAAAGCTTTATTAATAGACGAGATCATTATACAGAAAACATAAGCTCTATTGAGCTTTTATATTGTCATATTACAAACAAAACATCTATGTTTTTTTAACGTGCACGTTTAAAACAAACAAGCATGCTACACACAAAAGCTACACAAAGCAAATCATTACATTGAAGCATACATATACAGTATGTACATGACATGAAGAAGTTAAGTATGTAATACCATGCAGAAATATTAAAAGTACAATAAGCAACTCAATATTAAAAACATATAAAGCACTTTAAAACACATAAGCAATTGTAGCACATTCAACAGAAAAAAAGCACTAAAAATAGAGCATTAATTATTTGCAGGCATTGCATTGGCATGAACTACCATTCCAGGTAACAATAAGTTTAGAAAATTGGTTAAAATTGTCTTCATCTCTAAAACTCTGGGGTAGTTCATTCCAAAATTTTGCAGCTGTGTATCTAAAAGAATTGATGCCATAGCTTGTTGTTCTCACCTGGGGCTGTTCAACTGTATTTTTATATCTGAAGGAATATTTGTGATTTTTTATATTAATCAAATCATGTAAATAAGATGGACCCTTTTTGTGTATAATTTTAAAAGTTTCTATAGCTATTGCTCGTAATCTTCTGACTTTAAGAGATGGAAGTTTTGACTTGTGTAAAAGATCTTCATAGGAGCTATTATAATCCTCATAAACAAATCTCAAGGCTCTCTCTTGGATTTTTTCCATCTTAACTGTGTTTTTTCACTACAAAAATGTTAGGTGACTGGGCAATAATTAACATTAGACAAAATAAAAGAAAGATAAATTGTTAGACGACCAAGTCTTTTCAGATATCTACCAATACGTTTAAGAACATTAAGTTGACGAGAGGCCTTCTTACAAATCTCAGATATATGCTTATCAAAATTTAATCTGTGGTCTAGTGTGACTCCCAGTAGCTTTACATCATTTTCACATTCTATTCTACTTCCTTTAAGATTAAAAACAATATCATGATAAAAGTTGTTTTGCCAGTTGCCAGAGCTTGAAATTTATCTGGATTAGCTTTCATTAAATTCACGGTAATCAAACCAGTCCAACATTTTAAGACTATCACTTTCTAGATTTTTTATGACATTCTGTATATCAAAATCAGCATAGGATAAGGTGTTGTCATCCGCATAATTATACATAGTACTATTGTCAACTATACCAAAAATGTCATTTATGAATATATTAAAAAGCATAGGTCCAAGTATGGAACCTTACGGAACACCTTTGAACATAGTTTCAAAATTACTACAAATATTATTAATCTTTACACATTGTTTTCTGTTTTTTAAGTAGCACTGTAATAAATCTATAAAACTATTTGATAAACCATAAGTTTTCATTTTTAATAATAATAATTCATGCGGCGAACAGTCAAATGCCTTTGATAAGTCCATCAATATTGCTGCGACAAATTTGTTATCGTCCAGTGCCTTCTTCCAATCCTCAATACTTTAATGAGGGCAGTTTGACACCCATATCCTGATCTTAATGCAGATAACAGGGAGTTAAAGTGTTTTTCAAAAAACTCAGCTAGTTGATAAAAAATAGCACGTTTGTAAAATTTGGATATACTTGGCAACACATTAACTGGGCGATAATTTCCTTTGTCCAGCATATTGTTTTCTTAAATAGTGGTCTAACCTGGGCCACCTTTAGCTTATCTGGAAAAACTGAAGTTTTAAAACTTTTATTGATTAGTGTTTTAATAGGACTAATAATTATAGGTTTTTCCAATTTTAGCATTTTAGCCGAAATACCATCATACCCTGTAGCCTTTTTAGCATTAAGCTTATCTATTTGCTTTCTGACAAAGTCACCTGTCACAGGCTGGAGGGTAAGTTCTTCGCCCTCATGTTTACAGCGTTTAATTAACTTAACACTAGGATGATGTTCATCAATGACAGTATTAACATTACCAATATGTTTTGCCACATTAATGAAGAAGTTGTTAAATACCTCAGATACTTTATGTGGCTCATTTATGATTTCATCATTTTCGCAGATTGTAATGCAGTTTACGGATCGAGATCCCTTATTAGACAAAAATGGCTTGATAGTAGGCCAGAAATCGGTTGATTTTGGTCCGCCAATACATCGTTCAAAAAAATATTTTTTGCACCAATTTCTTTTTAATTTTTGTTACCAAGTTTCTTTGCTGTCTGTAATTCTCCCAATTTTTACTCGATCTATGTTTTAAAAATTTATTATGCAACATTTTCTTTTTGTAAATTGCTTGTCGTAAGATTTTGTTCATAAAAGGGGCAGGATTTGGTATACATTTTCTTGTCTTTAAGGGGACATGCTTATTGACCACTTTTAAAAAAGATTTTTCAAAATTTTCATATGATGTATCAGTGTCAGCATGTTCAATTATAATTTCTAATTGTTCTAATTTATGATCCTCCAAAAATTTGTCATGATCAAAATTTCTAAAACTTCTATATTTAACAGGTTTATTTTTTATCTTGGGGACTTGTCCTTTTATCTGTACTAATATTAAGTTGTGCACATCGCTCAAGCCACAGTTAAAATAAGTTACATTTTGGCAATTTTTAGTCTTGTTTGTAAGGATTACATCATTTAATGTTGGCAATGCGTCTTTAGTAAAGCAGGTGGCATTCTTTGCTAAGTTTGAATAATCAACCTGACCAAAGAGCAGAAAGCACCCCAAGGCCACCAATGGGTCTTCAACGCAGCGAGAAAATCTCGCACCCGGAGGCTGGCTTCAGCTGGCCTCTAAACAATAATGTATACAGAACTAGTTCAGCGAAATGGAAGCAACACTAATTTCCGAAACATATACTTGAAATGAAGCAAAATTAAAAACACACAAGACTAACAAAGGCTAGAGGAATTTGTCTTCATCATATGACAAAAAGCACAATCACTCCCGTAAGGGGTTTAGTATCATGCCATCATAAATTATACGAGAAGAACACAACCCGTATCATGCCCACAACTGGTTTAGAATAAATGTGTTTATTTCCGATGCAAAGACCCTATGAATGAATCAATATTAATTCCGAAAAATGCCATCTATAATGACTTGACAACAGTATCGTAACGATATTTCTTCTGAATAAATCTGTTTAAAGGTTTGATTAGCTTTTGAGGTGAATAACATTTTTGTGTTTTGTATGTAACCGTTTATTCTATATCAGTGATGTCTGTTAATATTATTATAAATCCATTATATCTTATCCATTTACTGTTAATGAGTTTGTGTAAATAAACTATTGGTATTTATATTTGTATTTGTATAAACCTCCCTTACATTTTGATTAACCAAATTTCAATAATTGATTGAATTGACTTTGTTTTATAAATAACATTTAAAAGTCTCATAGCTTATAGTAGAAATGGTCTTCTCGACAACACGTGTAAATGTTTATTCAAAGATAGTCCATGACTTTGACAGTGGGGACAATGAGGTACCTGCAAGATGTTGATAGAAATAGCCACTTTCAAAGCTATAATGACCGTAATAAATGAGCTTGATTCATATATTACTACTTATGTCATTCTCTGATAGAAAATTTTAATATCTAGAAATGCATTATCCCCAAAAATCAAAAGCAAAAATGTTTCGAAACAGGATAGTCATATCACTAATGGTCGTGATGTGAGAACCACGTAATGTGAGAACCAGACCTGATTTTATATTCACATTCTGCTTCCCAATACTTTTCAAGTACTTTCTTTCAATGTGTATTCTACCAAAATAATCCATATAATAAATTTCTTTCCATTTGCTAACTATATCTCTTCGTTTAATTCTATCGAAAAACAGGCCTCTACAATTTATGACCCATTTTTTCAAATACCCATCTTACATATCACTTTACAGTTATACTATAGTATAACAACTAACTGTCCCAGGTTAGGGGAGGGTCTGGTGCCATCTAACTAGTTTTTATAGCAGTAAACATCAATGAGGCAGCTACTAAACAAACAAGTTAACGCCCATCAGAATACATTTGGGAATACTCAGTTTAATGTCAAGGATATTTTGTCCCACTTTGATGGAAAACTTTCAAGAGAGAGGCGGGAGATATCTCATGGATATTCAAACTCATAAGTCGAAGACACAACTGACAACTCCATGGCTTTAAACGAAAACGACAAAAAAACAAACAACAGTCTACAAAACACAACATAGAAAGTAACACGGAACCCACCTAAACTAGGGGAAGATCACAGGTGCTCCGGAAGGGTTAGCAGATTCCACTATACATTTAACATCCGTCGTGTTGCTCAAGTTAGTCTAAAACTCGGGGATTAAGTTTAATACGGTGATGTCACATTTGAGTCAAAAGGGTAGGGATTTTGGCTACGACTATTGGAACGTTTAGCTTCCGAAATGACAAAATGTAAACCCAACAGAAAACCAACGGCCTTATGTACAAAACAAATACACGAAAAATAAATATGATAGGCAGCAACCAATGGCATCAACTGCATAACAGGTTCCTGACTTGGGACAGGCACATACAGAATGTGGTGGGTTTATACATTGTACTCTCTCAACTCCCTCTCCCTCTTCCTTGTGATCGTTTTTTTTTTATCTTAAGACCAGCAAGCACGCGCAAAACAAAGAAAACATTTCTGGCTTAATTGAGGGATAGGAAATGGTAGAATAAATAAAGTCGGACTGATAGATAGTGCTTTTGTAGTAACCTGTTTGTATCTGATTGACTAGTAAGATCATGCCTACAAATGCTGTTGATTTCTTGACCATAGCAAATACAATATTACTCAGATTCCGGCTTCTTGTATTTTGTTTTTACGATACGAACATTTTTGCTCTCAAGACCAACACTATAGCACAGCCGAAAAGCAGTCCCACGTCAACATTTGACTCAGGCATGTCGAGGCCAATTTCAATGACAACATAAACATAACAAAAATTATGACAGTAGCTTTAATTTTTTTATTCATAAATCTGCATGGTTTAAAATTGAATATTTTTGAATTATAGTTTTAAATGTTTTATTTGCTCCTTAAATTTATGTACTGTATCTTTTCCACGAATAAAATCCGCTGCTCTCTCCCCAATCATAATAGTTGGTGCATTAGTATTTCCAGATATGACGTGTCTCATCACAGATGCATCTGCCACTCTTAAGCCTTTTATTCCTTTAACTCTGAAAATAATATTGGATCTGAGTCTTCCTCTTTGATTTACATAATAGAAAAAAAAACATGTTACATGCAATTGGTGTAGTCTACATTTATTTATTTATTTCAGAAGCCGGTTTCACAATCATTTAATAACTAATAATAAAAGTCATTAACTTATTCTGAGTTTAATTCGCATCCAAAAACAAACATTTATCATTAAATATGTTGTGGTAGTTTTCTGTGATTGTGTTTTTTTTTTAATTTCAATTACACGATGAAGTTTCTTCTTTTGAAAACAGCAAAACAGTTAAGCTATACAATATAAAAAATAAACTAGTCAAATTTCCAAAACATCTTATCGTTACCTTAGTTTTGTATCCACAACAGCAGTCGGATCATCTTTTGCCCCCATTCGACATGTTGAAGTAGGGTGGTAGCACGTGACAGCAAAATGGCGTAACATGCATTCCCAATATTCATCAGAGTCAAATTTCACCTTGTCACATATACCATCAAAGTCCTGTCTGTTTAATGTGGCTCCTAATTCTTGGAGAGGATTCGCTGCTGCCAGCTTTTGTATTTTTCTAATACCTAAAACATTTGCGTAAATTCTTCGGGTTATCGATGCTTTTTTCAGCAATTTTTAGGTTTATACAATTCAGCGCAAAATGCTGTATTTTATATGTGAGAGAGCACCGCAAAGAGCAGTTTTTTTTTTCAAAATAGTCTAATTCATCCTTTGAATAAACTTATTCTTAAAGGTTATCAATCTAACCTGTGACTAATATATTATGTCCCAGATCTAACAGTAGTAAAATCTTTTCATAGTTCAGATATTTGAATACATCATAGAATAAATCACATATGCTGGTATAAAGAACAACACTAAACAATGTACAATTAATTTACTAAAGACAGTGATTTTCTAAGTCTGTATGTATTGATATATTTTATGAAGGGAGATGAACTGAAATTCCAATTATTGTTCACAAACAAATTGCTTAATACATAGGATGTTTCAAGCTGTTAATCGTTGAAAGTCTACTGTTGTCCATTTTGATTGCATTTGTTCATGGATTCAACGGTTTTGACGAACTCTCTCTTTTTATTTATATATAATTCTACTTTTAAACGAACATACCAGCTATTAAACTTTCGACATCGTATGTCTGATCTAAGTAATTTGGCTGAATCAGAGGATAATCAAACGGATCTTTACTGGCCAGACGGATAGTTCCGGTACTCTTAGGGCGTTGTTGTATTAATACTGATGTAAACTCAGTTGTGGACGTTCTTGTTTTTATAAGATCTTTAACCTACAAATATATCTTACTGTTTTTGTCATAATAAGCCAATTAAATATTCAAGTATCTAAATTCAGAGCAATGCAACAGCTTTGAGACAGGTTTTAATTGTCATATAGTCAAGACCAACTCAGAATATTTTTGTGCTAGTACTATAACCATGATAAGCGGCATATACATCATTTCCTGCCTTTGGATATTCCATCCCCAAACCATTGTTCTGCTACGGTTAGCAACCTTTCATATATAAATGATATATGCATACATTTATTCAGTGATCATAAATTTGATCTTCTCACTTTCTGATTAAATTTCGGTGAAAAGAATGATTCTTTGTTGAAAAATATGTTTGAACGCTATATTTTTTTGTTTTCTTTTATTGTCTCATTTTCCAACTTTCTAACCGCTACATGACGATTTACCCTCATATAATGATGTAACAGTTTAAAAAATATCAAACAGTGTTCGTGTGCTTATAATCTGATTTCAGATTGCATAAAAATCAAAAAATATGAATTAAATTTATTATCAATCTCCGGTGATGCCTTAATTATGATTTAAAAATGTTTAAATATATGGAGATGAGATCTGTTTGCCAATAAAAAAGCTATCTCAAACATAAATTTTCTTTGAATAGCATTATATACAATGCATGTCTGAAAAAAAACACATTCGAAAGAATGATTCTGATGTTCCTGAATGATCAATTCATTAGATCAGTGATATGCATTATTCGAAAGACTAAGGTTTTTTTACCCCATGTATATATTGCCTGTTTCATATTTGATACAACATTTTGGATTTTTTTGTATGTTTTAATGCTCTTGAATGTCGTATCTGATTTGACCATCCAATTTGTTTGATTCGAGTGCCACTGAAGAGCCTGATGTGGACGAAATGCGCGTCTGGCGTTACAAATAATAAGCCTGGTATCTTTATTGAGTTTTTGTAACACATTTTGAAATTTCCGTCATATTGGGATAACTGGTGAACAGAGACAGTAGAAGAGTTATACATCTTGCTGTTATAAAATGTAGAGTAGGAACTATTTATCCTTCCAGAGAACATAAGTTTTCCCTCGGTTTTGAAAGGGTTCGTGTTGCTCAATCTTTAGTTTTCTAAGTAATGCTCGTCTTTTTTACTTTGTTCATGTTGTAAGGATAATTAACCGAATACAGTATATATCTGTTTCATGGTACGGAATATTTACCGATTCCTTGAGATTCAGTTGTAAACCATAGTCATAGAAAAAGTTATCATGTGCAACGCTTAAAAACAGAATCTGATAATCAGGATAATTGGGTAAACTTTCGTCCCTGTTTGGCATTCGGCCGAATATGTTTGCTTCTAATCCCGTTCCTGACAAAGGACCTATAATAAATAAAGTATACCAAATGCATTTAAAAATACCGCAGTAAAAATATTTTACATTTTCAATGCATGGCGGAAAATAAAGTAATAAATGACAAACAATTTTACATAGTAACAAAAACATAAGCCATTTTCAGCATTTTATTTTTTGTAATTGAATTATAGTAATAACCAAATATGATTATAAATAAATAAACTTATAAAACCTGAAAACTCTTTAGATCAAGATACAAATATATGATGCCAAAACTTACCCGTCCTCGTCAATGCATACTGAAGTGAGCTAAAAATATTTCTTGATTCTGATGATAAACTGTATGATTGGTTAATTTTGTGTTTTACAAAGTACTGAAGGTGATCTTCAAGGTTATTTCCAACTGGTAAGTCAGCAATTACTGGTATCTGAAATATCACCACGGTAAACAAGATTCCTTTAAACTATTTTTTAAAAATAAAGTTCCTAAAAAATGAAGCAAAATCAGATATAACGTCTTGAAACACAGAGAAATATTTCTATGATGTATGATACCATAGCTTAATTTTATATTTGCTTATGATAGAAGGTGATGTGAAAAAGAAGTATTAAAAAAAATAAGAGTATATATCAGGATGTGAATAGAATGTTAAGTGGTATCTACCTTTAAATCCTGTAGATGTTGTTTTGGTCCTATACCAGACAACATTAGAATCTGTGGGCTGTTGATGGAGCCGGCTGATACTATTACCTCCCTCCTGGCAGTTATCTTCAATTTTCTGTTGCCCTTTAACATCTCAACGTCTGTGGCAATTTTATTTTTTATAATCACCTGATGAAAGAACGTTCAAAATACGGAATGAACTAAGAAGGAACAAAGAATAAAAAAGCATTAAAAATAAAATTTAGTCAAAACAAAGTTACATATATAAACAGAAAAATTGGACATTGCGACACACTACAAACAATTAGTCCGTTTCATATAAAACAATCCCTGATTCAGTTGTGAATGATTTATTTAGGTAGGTTCAAGAAAAATATAAGTGAATCCATTCAATCAAACAGAAATATAAGGCGATTTCACGAGGTCAATCCAAAAAACCATAAATCGAAGAATTTCGGGTAATACCATGACCAAGAGAGAAAAATAAGATTAAAAAACAAACACTAGTCATTGACCAAAACATATGCTGTTAACGAGCCCATGCGCTTAGCAATTCCTGATGTACAAAGGTTTATTTTTATTTTAAAGTATCCACCAAAGCAAATGAATTTCACCGAATGTATTGCTAAATTCTTCAAAAGAAGTATGTGTTTACCTTTGATACAAACGAATCAATGCTAATGTGAAGGTTAGGTCTTCCTATTATAGGTCTCAAATAGCAACTAGCTGTGCTGCATCGTTCACCATTGTATACAGAAGCCTGGGCGTACGAAAACCCTGCGACCAACAGAAACGATAATCAATATAATGTCATACCCTTAAACAAATCTCGGACCATGTGTGATCATCTTTCAAGTCGTTTTTACAAACACCCTATCAACAGACAATTGCATAAGTTAAGCTCTTCGGGATCATAAAATATAAAGTGTTATTTTCATTTTTTGGTCTCAGAATCATCACTTGTACAAACTAGCTAATGTTTTAATCTTCGCTTTCATATTCCTGTTTTTGTTTTTTAATTGAGGAAAAATGCCTTAATTCAACCAGTAGTCGTTTCTTGTGACGTTCTTCCTTATTCCCGCTTTTGTTTATCACATTTTGAGTGCACTGCATACTATTACTTACTATATCATGTTTGATTCTATTCATTTATTGCAGACCACTCTTTATTCTAAGCAGTTTAATTTTTACATTTAATTTATGTCTCATTGGCAAATACTCAGGACTTTTTGTCAAAAAAGAAAATACAAATTTTATTTTTACACATGTTAATCGACGCACTCATCTGACGGAACACTCATCTTAGAAACCCACCAATCTGATCCTCTCCGTTAGCATCCACGGTTTTGTATCCAATTTCTTCAGCACCTCTTCTGTAGACCTCAACTAGAGGTGTTAGGGAACTGTCTGTTAATTTCATATAGCCACCTTTACCATGATACGCTAAAATTTAAATTGGTTTAGTTTAAATTCATTTCTACAAGTATTTGTCAAAAAACGTCCATCGGTGTCTCATTGTGTGATTTTATATGTTCTGATTTCTTATTTTCAATCTTTGTTTATTCTCTTAGGCCTTAAAACTAATTCCGATTTATAAATAATTTTCGCGTTTAAGGAATATTTATCTGTTTTTTTTTAAATAATTTCATACATATTGTATTGCGTTTGGAAAACGTTACTTTACATTTTTCATGTTAGTTATTGAAGTATATTATCATTTTTCTTCAATCTTGAGGATCATCTTTATTCTGTGTTTATATCAAACAATTTTATATCGTTCTTGTTAATTAGATAGAAGAATCCCAAGAAAGAATATAACTGAATAGAGAGACAAACCAGAGTCGTATTCGTTTGGCATTTGATAATCTTCCGTTTTTATGAAGTATGGTAAGACATCTTTGTAACTCCAGCCATCACATCCTTCCTCAGCCCACTGGTTATAATCATGTCTACTTCCACGTATATACACCAGGGTATTCAGACAACTAGTCCCACCTAACACTCGTCCTCGCGGCCAGTAACTTCTCTGCGAATACATTTAAATATTTCATATTTATTAGCTAATGACAATTAACATTCTATAACATATGTATGAACCTAATTTCATATAGTTCTAGAAGAACTCTAATAAGACACCAACCAGCCAAATTTTTAAATCTGTATGATCGTCAAACCCAAAAATAATCTTAAATTTTACGGACGCCATCACATTGGTTGACCGTTATGGAATATCTGTTTCACAGATTACTACGGATATGTTCCAATTGTCGTAACCATAATCCCGTCCTCTTTTCTTCTAGTGTGACCTATCGGGGTTAAACTTATCACCGGATTTGTATTTACATGAGCAACACGACGGGTGTCACATGTGAAGCAGGATCTGCTTAACCTTCCGGAGCACCTGGTATCACCCTCAGTTTTTGGTGGGGTTCATATTGCACCGTCTTTAGTTTTCTATGTTGTGTTTTGTATACTCTTTGTCTTTTGATCGTTTTTCATTTTGTTGCAATGGCAGTGTCCGTTTGTTTTCGACTTACGAGTTTGAATATCCCTTTGATATCTTTCGACTCTCTTTTAAAAGAACAGCAAAGACTGACTTATGTCAAAGTCTGATTGAGTTGCAATTTAATGAGAATTCGTTAACAGAAGTAACTGAAACGTATATTTAGTCACTCTTAAGAAGTCTCGGTATGTATTTGTTTTCTATATATCTTTCTATTATGTCATCATGAACGAGTTTAGATGACGTTTTCTTTTTATGTCTCTTTCTTTCGAAGATTTTAGTCAAATCCTCAAAACATGAGAGACCAATTTACAGTAAGGGTAACCCCATGTGCACGTTGATTTAAAGTTTTCAAGATGGGTTCCTTTTCCATGGCAAAGAAGTTAGGCTTTTACCTTTACACAAAATATTTTTTTGCAGAAACTAGAAGCCATAGATATAAGAAGATGTGGTATGAGTGCCAATGAGACAACTCTCTATCCAAGTCAGAATTTGTAAAAGTAAACCATTATAGGTCAAAGTACGGTCTTTAACACGGAGCCTTGGCTCACACCTAACAGCAAGCTATAAAGGGCCCCAAAAATGACTAGTGTAAAACCATTCAAACGGGATATTCGATCATTAACCTTCACAGGCAGTATTTTGATGACTTTTTATCTGATGATATTGAAGCGGATGTCATTTTTTCGAGATGAGATCAGCTTGCAATTGCAGTTTTATTTTAATGTTGTTTATTGTGCTTGATGTGAACATTAAAAAAATTCAATGTTTGCGAAACAGAGAAAAATAAAAATGACAATGAACTGAAAAAACAAAAGTAAACAACACAAAAAAAAAATGTAAATACCACTGTATGGCCTTCAAAATCGTTTTTGATACGGAATAGACACAAACAACATACAATAAGCTGTTTATTACACGAGAATTGAGAAATTAAGGTGACAATAGTTTACCGATGTTCAAATCGCAAATCGATTAGGAAAAGACAAATCAAAGTAACAAAAAGAAACCGAGGGAATCGCATGAACTCCAAAGGAGCGAGATTTGGTGCGTCGACAGGGTAACAATTGCTGTTATTATACCTCAGTATGTTTTTTCTATATAAAAAATAAGGAAATATTTGTGCTATTTCATTCCACAGACTATTTGCCAGTCAATAGTTTCAAAGACTATTACCCCGGTCAATAGTTTTATGATCATATTTCCCGTACCTTTTCATACTTATTTTTCATTGGACAATAATGACGTCATTAACTATTCCGCTTGAATTTTTTGCGCTTGGCAACGTAAAACTCTGATATCGTAAACGGTATAATCTATTAGTGTCTGTCGTTGTAATTTCAAATTAATATATCACTTACCAGAAGCAATTAAAAAAGAAAACAAAAATCTACGCGACACATTTTATGATCTAAAACATAATAAATGTATAATATGGGTCTGTCGTCGTCTTCATAAACTGTGATTGCTTTGGTGTACAGTACTTTAGCTAGTGTTTATTATATGCACGGGAATTTTTACACAAGTATTCCTGGTCTTGATTACAGTATATGAAATATTTACAAGTATAACACGGACTATGAAAAAACTTATAGTTCATCTTGTGCATGTTTATGTGACATTTTTTTTCTTTTAGATGGTTTATGTAGACTTTTTAAAAAGTTGGTTTGTTCAGTATAATAAAACACTTAATGACTGGTTATGAGGGTAATAGCAAGTTTGTTGTCCCTTTGATACTAACTATTGCCCTCGGCTTCACCTCGAGCAATAGTTAGTATCTCAGGGACAACAAACTTGCTATTACCCTCATAACCAGTCAATAGGTGTATACTATTCATGCATCCCCCTCCATGCAGATTCATGTCACAAGTGGGAACAGGAAATAATCGGTAAAATCACAAACAGGTTCTTGAAGTTCAAGGTTTGATTTTAATTACTACATTTAATAAATGAACGAGAAGCAACACGTCTAAAGTCGTCTACAGACATTGAAACACACATATATGTAAAGGACTAAACTACAGTAACTTCAGGTTTTTTTAATACGAATAATGCAACTGGGTGTGTATCGCTATAATAAGAACTCATATTCTAATATCTGACACATATATATGCATACAGATTTTCCTGAAATCACAATAATTAATCTCGCATTTTTGTCCATTCTTCAAAAATCGCAATAATTAATGAAAGCAATAATATCTGAATTTTCAGTAGTTTCAATGATATTGAATTCTCTTGATAATTGAACGAGCGAACGATTACACCAGCTTTTCAAATCAAGAATCGTTTTAATATTGATGGAAGGTATATTGAGCTTTTGGTCCATTGTGCTGAATTTTCGGCTATCTTCAGTTGACAAATAGCAGCTGAAAAAGTGTTGTTCATTCGATATATGATTGGTTATTCCTTTTCAAGGATTTTGTTTTGTGCATTATTATGTATCCCAACTCCATATCCTTTTCCATTCTTTGCTAAGAAAATCTATGCAACAGAATCGCCTAAGACAGATTTTAGAGAACCGTCTAAAGCATTCACAATTTCTTAAAGTATGTAAATGCGCTTCATGTGCTGTTGACAAACAGTCCCTCCGAACATTCAAATCTGGTTAATACACAAACAGTAAAAATATACGAATTAAGCATGATTAAAAATACAATGATAATTGACATTCTTATCGTACCTGCTCATTCATTGCAAAATGACTGTTCTTCTGAGGTAGCGTTTGATAATTCCAATCAGCTGACGACTTCTGCAGCCCTCCACCTATCAACGGTATTCTAATGTTATCATTACTATATTCAGAACCACCAGCTTCTAGTAATAAGATCGTGACATCAGAGTCTTCAGACAAACGATTGGCTATTACGGAACCCGCAGATCCTGCGCCAACTGGAATAAAAGACATTTTTCTGCAAAAGTATAAATTAATCTATTAGATATTAAGAGTGTTTTATTTTTTGCTAATATATATTATTCTATATGCTGTAAAGATGTCAGAGAATTAGCATTACCTGAAGTATTATCTTCTTTTTACCTACACTCGAATAACAATAACCCATTCCGAATTACGGCTTCAAAGTAAAATCTATGACAAACGTTATGATTTCCAAATGACAATTTCTCAGCAGTAACATACCCTTTGCCCCATCATAAGGCGTTTACATATCTCAATTGGTACGTTACGCTCGTGCATTTTTACAAGTTATGAAATTTGTTAGCAACAGAGTCATGAGGTAGAACGACTGCAATCGCACTTCATAAGATACACTTTAAATGATGCTTCTAATATCCTTTTTTAAAAGTTCGATATACTTGAAATTCACAAAATAAAGTATAAAAGATATAAATTAAGTCAGGGAAAGTGAATGAAAAATATTCAGTCTAATTTAAACTTACTTATGATATAATCATATGTTGAGTTCAGCTGAACATGTAGCACCTCATCTATTTTTGTTGTGTTTAAATACAGTGTGAGTACAATACCAAGAAAAACCACAAGTACAGATGATAGAGCGATCATGGTTCAACAATTTTACAAAATGGCAAAGGTAATTTACTCTGTATACACTCTCTGTGAAATTTAAAAAAAAGATACACATTAGACAAACAGCAAATCATCAATAATGACTGTTTGCGGAAATCGGGTATTTGTTTCTCCCAGTGATAACCTCAGTTTTAAGTAGGAAACAGTTAATCTCGCTTCTTATATTTCTCGTTATAACATTTTTTGTACAGATGTTGTACTTATGTCAAGTTACCTTATAGTAATGAGCTTGATCCTTGTAAGTTGAAGTTGCTGTCGAACCATGCCATTTTAGTTTGAGGTGTCACAAATGATACAATCCCATCATAATGAAATGTTTCTACCACCAATAAGGTAGCTGTAAGTTTTGCTGTGACTGTGTCGACAGTTGATATATAACTGTTGGTCAAATGTATCGCCTCTAATAGGTTTGCAGCCCTAGGTCATATGTATATAGTGCTTTCATTATGTGTTGGTCCTGGGTTAAATTTACAACATTTCCGTTTCCATAATTATATGAACAGTATATATGATGTTACAGATTAACATTTATATGGATAAAATCATGATCTTAGCTTAATTTTTTTTAACAAGCTGCTTACTGTTATATCTTTTTTATGTGTATTTTTTCCGTCTTCAATGCTTCTCATAGCTACATCTTTATATTCATTATGATGCTTGCAACGATGATACTGCTGATAATTTTAGCTTAATCTCCTTATTGTTGGACAGGTTCTGTTTATTGTGTTGTAAAAAAACTATGTTAGCATTCAATGTCATGTCATGACTAAGCAAAGTTCCTGGATGTACATTGTCTATTTTGTTGATTGAGATGTTGACTGATTACCTGTGTACTGACTGTGTATTTATATTTTATCAGTTTTATTATTTCAAAATTAAGCCTCTTTATCAATCTTATTACTTGAAAATGATTTACCTAATATGTTGCATGATATTTTATCCCTTTGATTCCTCCTTTGGTATCGCCCGCCTCTTCTGCACTGGTTATCTATTCGAAAATTTTACGGACACCATCACGAGTTGGTTGACCATATGGAATATCTGTCTCACAGATGACGACGGATTTCGTACTTACATGAGCAACACGACGGATTCCACATGTGGAACAGGATCTGTTTACCCTTCTGGAACATCGGAAATCCCCCCACAGTTTTGGTGTGATTTGTGTTGCACTGTTTTGAGTTGTGCTTTGTAGACAGCATGAAACAATCTATTTTGTTGCGCCTGCTTGTTGCTTCATAATCTTTATCGCTCATTTATATTCTTGTATTGTGTTTAAAATTCATAATGTTGGTGTCTTTGCATGGTAAGCTTTTCCTCTTATACGTGAAATAACATAGATCAATGGTATGTCTTTTGATTGCTTTAGTAAATCAATCAAATCAACTAAGTCAGATGTTTTCGCTCATGAGATAAATCATAATGCATAAAAGACTATATATTTTTACAGGTGTTTCGTACGGAGAAGCACTTTGCTATTTCGGTTCAAGGGAAATGAACCGATTGAGAAATTCAATTTCCTTCCTCGTAGACAACGTTGTGCAATCTTAGCATCTACGGAAATGACATCTGGACCAATCAAAATGTCAAAAACAGTGACTCTACTGGGGTCTATATGTTTCATCTGCTTATGTATAATATAATGTGGCTATACATTGAGAAGTAACATGCTCCAGTATTATAAAGTGCCAAAGTAACACCATAATTATGATTATATAATTATGTAAAACTATACTGTTTTGAAATAAATTCGCCAATTATGTTTGTTTACTATGAACATAGCATTGTGTACTTACATGTTCAGATAAGGTTTACCTGAATAGTGTATTAATGTCCTCGAAATTTATAATCATCACGTTTCCGCTGTGTACAAAAAGGTCATTTGGTCATCGGAAGGATTTACAGCCGATTTTCTTGGCAAAACAGCACAATGCATTACTGTGCAAACCAAAACGCAAATAGCATCTACTGAACTTAAATTGACAAAATTCATAGCATACAAGTCTGCAAACTTTGCAAAAGAGAAATCGGCATATATCCATTTTCATAACACGAACGTAGACATATTTACCAGCCGAACATCTGAACCGCCAATTTATGATTGATTATTGTTTGCTGAATATCCAGCGACAAAAGAATTACATGTATACCATATTTATAAGAACTGAAAATATATCAGAACACTAAAGTTTACAATAAATCCAAAAGTCAATAACTAGGTCTATTACTACAGCGGTCTAATTGATCGGGCTAAATAAAGAAGAAGAAGAAAAAACAAAAAATAAAAAACAAAAAAACAACACGTTAATAATTTCATGCGTTTTCTGGATGTACTTTCATCAGGAACGCTCAAAGCCGAATATTTGAAAGCCGAGGATGTATAAGAACCGAAATATTTGAAAGAGTTATATGACCAAAAAGCATAAATGTCCTTACATTTTTTTAATCGGGTTTATCGTTTCTGTTACCTGAATTTAGAATGCAAGTTAAGATAATAAAACTTATATTAATATTTGCGATTTTAACTTTTCTGTACACTTAAGCAAACGATTCAAGGTGCTATTAATTCTGTCCATACATCTAAGAGTGTCATGGCATATCTGTCCACAATTCTCATCACTATATCAAACGATGTGTATATAATCCTGGATCATCTAAATCCGAATCAATTACCTGTGTGGAACTCGTCATTAACCGATTACCTGCCCTTGGATGACTGCATTGCTTGTTGAATGTTGTCATATCAGTTGCTAGTCAATGTGGTCATGTGTGTATCTAGAACATGTGAACGATGCTATCCGCAGATGCATGCGATTGTATTGCATGTAACTGTCCGAATCATTCAACAATTTGTTATTCCATGGTCTTCAGTACTTCAAACCGGTTTAGCATCCTGTCCTGAGTCACCACTCGAAAGTCCCACAACACCAACAAACTAGAAACAACACATACACAACAATAAAACCAACAAAACCACCCAATAAAACGACTTAATCTATTCTGAATGTAAATTTTCAATAATTTGATGCAAAACAACTTCAGCTTGAGTATATGATTGACAGTACAAACCTGCATATCATCTTCGGTATACAGACCTGAATTGACAACAGCATAAAAGACAGATTATTTCCTAACGATTATAATGTATTCAGAAATAACAAACATCTATCAGGAGGGGGCGTCCCTATAGCAGTAAAGAACAAATATATAACCACATCTGAATTTCAATTAAATTGACTGTGAAAGTGTATTCTGCAAACTAGAGCTAGTTGGATACAAAGTAAGCCATCAACTGAAGGAATCAAAAATTAGTTTGGTACGAGTATAGAAAAAAAATAGATTTGATATCAATGTGTATTGAAATCATTAATGAATTTTGTTGAATTTTAAAATGATCGACGTGGTAAATAATTTGACAGATCAATTGTCCAGTAAATTGATTGCTATTGGTATCCTTGAAAACATTCCAAATTTACCAAATTATAATAGCACAATGACAACTTGGCAATTAACTCGGGGCAAGATCTAAAGCAAACAAAATTAGCATACATGTATTTTGAGCAGCTGTAAAAGAGGGACGAAAGATACCAGAGGGACAGTCACTCATAGACCGAAAACAAACTGACAAAGCCATGGCCAAAACAAAAAGACAAACAGACAAATAATAGTACAGATGACACAACATAGAAAATGTAAACTGACTAAACTTTACTATTTACTTCGTTTTTTTCATTTTTTTATTTAATATTGCGTTGACCTACGTGAAATTATGCCACCTCCATCGTCCAAGGTTTTGTCATACTACAAACGAAATGCCTTCCTCAAAAATTTTGAAATGCAAATAATGTGAATGGAATTAATGTATACTGGGTGATAAGAGTTATACGTTTAATCATCTCAAATTGAATTACTCTACAAACTTTTCTGAAACACTACAGAAAAAGAAACAATAAACGGTTTAGACATCGCCAATTTCACGTGATCAAGAAGCGTTTCATCTTCTTAATCTGAAGTTGTTACAAACGCCATCGCAGATATGGTATTGGATTATTAAAAGTAAAACTTCACCAGGAGTGCTCAAAGCCAGGCCTTTAAAGGTTCAATGATAAACTTCAATTCATCGTAAAAACGTACATTTGTAAAGTACTGTAGATCTTTAGGCCTTTAAACATCAATTTAACTACCGGATAACCGGTTAATCGGTTGAAAGATTATCTGAGTAACCGGTTAGACCAAACTGCTCAATTTGACAATACTAATTAATAGTAACAGCTGCAAATTTCAATCAATCATGATAGGTTTTGGAGAAATAGGGTATCCTACTATAAACCATAAATTTACAGACATACGAGATGATTACGGATTAATCTAATTACTCGAAGAATCAACTTAGCAACATCTTAGATCTTATAGTTACAAACCATCCATATAGTTTCCGTACAACTAAGATCATAACAGATATATCGGATCATGACTAACAATGTGTACTGCAATATGTATTACACCATTAAGACACCAGCAAAATATCGTCAAATACCTTTATATGGCAAAATCAAATTGGAGAATAAAAGAAATGACATCGAATCATTCACCACTAATTATAACATATTATAAATGGGGAATGTGTCCATGGGACACAGATGATGCCCCCGCTTGCATATCATATCAACTTGAAGGTATAAAGGGACATAACTGAAGAACGGTAAAAGTGACACTTCCCAAATTTGTTCTTGATCTGAGTTATGTGGTAGTAAGCATTGTGTATAAGTTTCATAATATTTGGTTGAGGCTAACTTAAGTTAAAGAATGGAAACGAAAAATTCAGCAATTTTTCCATTTGTAAAGGACCATAACTCTAGAACAGTAAAAGTGACACCACCAAAATTCAAACTTGATCTGTATATTGTGGTAATACGCATTGTGTATAAGTTTCATAACATTTGGTTGAGGCAAACTAAAGTTAGAGAATGGAAACGAAAAATTCTGCATTTTTTCCATTTGTAAAGGGGCATAACTCT